CATCTTGGAGAAAGGTTTTTTTGTGAAAGAGCACCATCTGAAATGGACAGTGAACAACGGTCAGTGTAGGAAGAAAATGCTCCAGCTGATGTCCTGTGTTTCAGTCCTCAAATATCTTTTCATATACTTGTCGTTTTCTCTATATCCATGTATCTCTCCTTTCACCTCATCTCTCTTTGTATTACTTCACTTTCCCTTTGTAGCTCTTTTCTTTTCTAGTCATCTCTTCCCTTCTCTTTTTCTCTCCCTTCTGTTTTGCATACTCTTCCTCTCCCTCTTAAACTCTTATTACCTCTCTTCCTTCAGTTCTCTTCTTACCCATCTTTTTTATTTTTCGTCATTTCTCTCTCCTCTTACCTCTTTCTCTTAATCTCTTTTTTTGCCACCTCTTCCCTTCTCTTTTTTTCCCATCTTCCCTTCCTCTTTTGCCTGCCTTTCTCTTTCTCTCTCTCTCTCTCCTCTTCTGCATCAGTTGATTCTCTGATGGCTGTGTGTAATATTAATGTGCCTGTCTGAGGCTGATTTCCAATTTTCATCTCTCTACATTCTCATCGGGAGACACTAATGAGACAGTGGCAAAAGCTCCCTCTCTCTCTCTCTCTCTCTCTCTCTCTCTCTCTCATATCCTTTCCTCGTCTTCCCCAGTGCCAGTCCTCTTAATGCGCATTCACTCATTTCTCTCACAATTCACAATTCATATTCCTCCCTCGTTATCCACGGTGTGTGCTGGGCAGTGCTCCCCTCTCCCCCTGCAGCTCACCACGGACAGAGAGGACAAACCTGTAGTGTGTGTGTGTGGGTGTGTGTGTGTGTGTGTGTGTGTGTGTGTAGGAGTGAAGCTGAGGGTGGGTTTACAAGTGAGGGGCTTGAAAATACAATTAAATGTGATGTGTGTTTCTTGCAAAATGACTGTGTGGGCATAAAGGCTTTGAAGATCTACAGCTTTCAAATACAACATCTTTATATATGTGTACAATACTGGGCAAAATCCACCCTTCATTTAACTTCCAACCAAAAACAGCCAAATATAAAAATTAAACACAAATTATTCTTTTTCAGCATCAGGAACAAGTATTTTTCAATATTTAGTGAGCTCCAAAACTGTGTCCATGTGCTTTACATATTAAAAAACGATATTTTCTGTCACTATAGGGGAGGCACTCTGGAATTCAGCTTTAAATGCATTTCAGAAGCCATGAACTGTTATATTTTCAGAATTTTTACAACTTTTAACACTTAATATTATTTAGTAAACTGTTTAAAATAAACGTTAGCTCTATGTCAGATGTCTTTAATATATATAAACATTATTACCACTATTATCATCATTAGCATTATCACTTTAATTCAAAAGCATAAATAAACCATCCAATTATGTATAAAAAAAAAACCTTTAGATTTTCGGTTTCAGTTTTTGGCTGAACGCATCCTGAATTTTCGATTTCTGTCAAGAATTTTCATTTTGGTGCATCACAGATTACAAACAATATACTGTTCAACCCTTATAGCCTATTGGACAATACACAGCCTATTACACAGAGCACAGCATTAACAGTAGTTGTGCATGAGAAACACTTTCGCTTATGTAAACCATAAGCTAACACCAGATTCCCATAGAAAAACTAAAATACTCTAAATTGCCGCCTGTTTAACCTCTTCTATTAAACTTCTCAGACATGAATATATACTAATATATGGTGTTGTAAAAGATGGGGCTTGACTAAACATATGGTGTTCAACATACATAAAACATTCAATACAATTCAATGCGTAAATTAGAGCTGGTACAACATAAAACTCTGGTATCAGTTTCACAGCTCAGTGATTGGTATTTGAGGTATACTGCTAAAAATTATCATGCCAAGATGTACAAAAACTTCAAAAATACAGCACAGCTGATGGCAGCAAAGACCTGGAACCGCAGCACAGCGACGACAAGGAATCAACCCGCAGAAGACACAGGTAATGCTGCCAATTCTGTCTAAAACCTGGCACTGACTGTAAGCGCAAGCCCCTCACTGTGCGGAACGGTGGCAATATATGTTTTGTAGAAGAGCTGAATGACGCAATTCATCAAAAAATAATGAAGCATGCCAGATGAGGCTCTGTAGTGCAGTCTGACTAGGAGAGAGAGACTGAAAGTGACAGAGAGAGATGGGGAGAGACAGAGAGAGACACAGAGAGAGAGAGAGAGAGAGAGAGAGAGACACACAGAGAGAGAGAGAGAGAGAGAGAGAGGGAGAGAACCGGGTGAGAAACTGAGTGAGCTCCATCTGAAGAGATGTTGATGTCACTGGCTTGAAGCTCAGTCTAAGGGGTAAGAGAGAGAACATGTCAATGATTCGCACTCGTTTTCAATACAGAACGAGGGCCGTGGCAGTGAATACACAAAGTTCTCCTCTGCAGCTGCAGTAGAATGCTGTTGGAGCAACACTGCCCCCTAGAGCGGGACAGCAGCATTGCAGTTATGAAACTTGGGTTTGGACAGCTTTTAGGATATGATTTGTATTGATTTAAAATTTCTGTTTAATTAAATTGTTAAAATGTAGCCTAAATCACATTTTGTACAATGCATTCAATGATGGCAGAAAAAGTAGTCCACAAAAAAAATGATTTTTTTCAGTTTTTCAGTATTTTGCCATTACAAGCATTACATAAAAAAACTTAGAAGCATGTGTAGGGTCACTGGTCATTTTGGATAGTAATTAAAATAGTTACATTTGCGTTGTAGGCACTGTGATCCCTGGTTACTATAACCACGATCAGTCAGTAAGTTTCTCTACAATGCACTTTTTCACATGAAATCACTCTAAATGACCTTGTTCACATCAAGCAATTTTTAAAAAAATCAGCTCTTATTCTTGAGATTTACCTACGAGAGCTGAACAACATGGAAAAAGTACCACATTATGATTTTATTGCTACATACTGCATTTGCAACTACATCTACTTTTTAGCTCAATCAGATCATAAGGATAGTGTACTTCAGCGGCAAGTTAAATTAATAACGAAATGCGTTTTAAATGGGAATTTCATCAGTTTTTCGATTTTCTGCATAATGAGATGTAAACAAAGTCTGATTTGATGTGAAAGGGGTCACTGACACAAAATTGACTGATTTCTTTACAGTGGTTGGAACCAGGGGTTACAATGTTTACAATGCAATTTGGTGTACTGTCCAAAACAATCAGTCAAGATATCTTCTGAGTTTTTTATATGTTGGATGTTGGTAATGAAAAAATAGTGCTAAATCGAAAAAAGTTTTCTTTGGGAAATATTTTGCCTTGAACACCCTGCACTGTTGACGTGTACAAATGGTTCACTGTAGAGAAAAGTACTGACTCTTATTTTCTTTACAGTGGTGGTGATGGGAACCAGGGGTCACAATATCTAAAACATATGGCAAATTTAGCCATTTTATTTATTATCCGATATGATCAGTTAACCTACATGTGTTTTTTGAGGTTTTATATGTAATGCTGATGAAAAAAGAGTGGTAAAGCAAAAAAAAAAAAACATTTTCTTTTATGTATACCACTCTGCCATGAATATATTAAAAAAATGCATTTTAGACCAAAAGGTTTCATAAAAACTATCATAAAACAGTGTATCAGACACGAGGGAGTGTATTCCAAACCATTTCATGCAATACTTTTCTGTGTTCCCATGTTTTAGCGGCATTAAACTCTTCAGATGTCTGGATCCTGTCACCATGATTGTGAACAACTCTGACTCAAGCAAGTTTCTCTAGAATGGGGCATTTCACACCAAACCACTCTGAATCACTTTGCTCACATCATAATGATTTAATTATGCAGAAATTTAGAAAAATCAGTGGAATTCCCCTTTAACCCACAACTGAATATCTTCTTCTCTGCTATGTTGGTCCTCACCTGTATCTCAAAACTTTGGGTAAGATGGTACAGCTGAATCTGCACCAATGCAACCACAGTAATACCTAGTTTAATACTTTCCTAACTACAATACATGCATAGCCTGTGCTGTGCATAAGTCTGTCCCTAATGCAAACCTAGAGCCCTCAAAGGCTCTTGTCTTATACATCAGCACCATGCTGATTGTCAAGGTCACCAAAGTGTGGACCACAGGGCTTAGGGTGTTTCTGAACTGGTCTTAAAACTAGGCACAAATTTGTTTAAGCACTGTGAGCATCCTGACCAACCACAGACATTCCTGTAGTTATTTTGATAAATAAAAGCTTCCACATGATCTAAGAAATGAAAAAAAAAAAAATCTGCCCAGCCTGATGTCAACGACCCCATAATTCGGACTGCTTACCCCTGGTGATAAAAGCATTTGGTTTGTTCGGAGCAAAAGAAAACTCTTAGAAATGACCACAGGATTGTATTTCAACATTAACATTGATTATAGTATGAGTGTAACAAGGCTGTCTAACTAACAGGCCTTATTTCTATACAAAAGTCATGCATGTTATCCCAGACATTTCACCATTAAATGGTCTTAATCATGGGAAACTGACTTACCCTTTCTTTTTTAATAAAACGTTTGTAGATTGTTAAAGTTTCCAATTGAACCATTGACTCTCCAGTCCATACAGTGCATATATGTATATAATCTAAGCCTGCTTTGAATTAATTGTTTTTGTGAAGCCATAACAAGCAGTGCATTTACATATATCCACCTATTCGATCTACAGCAGCATAATTCTTAGTTTTTAAAGAACGAGAAGCCGGAAAATGGCCATTTATAAATAAATGATGGTTGATAAGACCACAAAAGCTCCAGTATATAGAAACCTGTAATGTATTGGCCCATTCAAACGTAATGTTGTAGCGCCCCCTGCTGTTCTCGTCCCCTAATTGCACATAAGCGTGTCTGTGTTTGAAACAAAACGACAGAATAACGTTGACTCGCTCATTAAGAAGCAGTTTATGTTGGATTAAAGAAGCACAAAGCCAAGTGGGTAAAACAGGCAAAGTAAAAGCGTTTTAGAACAGTGTAAGTAACATTAGCTTACATACCCAGCATCAGAATGTTTTCATCTCTTCCCACATGTTGGACTAGAAGGTGCTGAAACTTGGAGAAATCCCCGAACCACTCGAAACTCTCCTCCGTCTCGTACCTCGTGTTCCAGTACTCCACATCTTTGTATTTGGCGTTACAGTCCGGTAAATACTCCATATTTATCTGGAATAAAGCAGCACCGCCGGCTAGCCTGTTAGCTACCTCAGTTTACAAACAGCGTTTATGTTACACAGACCGACCGACAGACAGTGACAGTACTTCCTGAGGAAAACGTAATACGAGAAGTCGGTGTTTATGAGTTTATTATTCACATCTTTGTCTTAAAACGTGACAAACAGTGTGGAGAGAGCGGGAACACACACTATGCTCACTGAAACAGGCACACGTGCACTTCACTGTAATCGGGATGACTTATTTTCAAGATAAGAGTCCTTGAACTGAGGAGAAAAAAAATTGTGCGACGATAATAATATAATAATGAAATGTAGCGCAGCACAACAATTGTTGACCACCTACAATACAATATGTAGACAGGAACTGTAAGGCGAGATACAATATAGATCGTTAGAATAATTAGAAAGGTATAAATAGAATTATTACTGTTAGAATACCTTCTTGAAAAAGTCATTTGTGGTAGTCTGATATTAGAAAACTTTCTATTTGTAACGCATCTGATGCCCTTTTGTTATATGATATTTATGAATTGACCGAGAGGAGCGATATAGCCTAAACCCATGTTCGTGTGTATGGCTTTGTTACTTTAGTGCAGTAATGGTAGAATTAAAAGTGTCTGAAATACTGAGTTTGACGATATTGCTTAATGGTTTGATGAAGTCGTTAAATGGCCCATTCACACTAATGGTGAAAGTCTATTGAGGCCGAATTCTGTGATAAGTCTATTCATGGTAAAATCAAAAGAGAGTACTTAGAACACTTAATAGGTTATCTGAAACTTCATCCTGTATGCACTGAAAGGCGCACACACACGCATATGGTCTGTGCAAGGTACGCATAGGTATATATATACATACATATATATATATACATATATATATACATACACACACACACACATATATATATATATATATATATATATATATGTGTATATTTATTTATTTATATATATATCTTTGATAGAGAAAGCAAATTAAAGTGGGGGTCAAAACAAAAAGAGAAACATAGATAGTAATAATAAAAAAGTGATTTAAAACTAATTTAATTTCTTCCGTACAAAATGCAAACAAATCATTGGTGTCAATAAATCTTGACAAAGAGAATTAAAGGAGTACGTTTTGAAGCATCTGAAATGCATGTTTTTATTGTGGATCCAAAACTTGAAAGACAATTGGCAAAATCTTTTAGAGATAGTGGCCCAAAAATATTTGGACGCTTGAGACATGCTTAACAAAAATATGAAGTTCATATTTTTTTACAATAGTGATGAGCAACACATTTGATTTTTTTATACCAAGTAACACCAAGGCTAATAACCTAATCCCAATACACTTAAAAGTCTTCTTGTGCACGTAAAACAGAGACTTTTTATGATTTCAACAGCAAAATCCAGTAAAATGTGGACAAAAATTGTATCTTAAAGCCTTTGCATGAGTTAGATGTTGTGCAAGAAATGTTTTTCTTTAAAACAATGAAGTAACCTAAAGAACTTTATTAAAGTTTACCATTGGTTATGGGGAATTCCACTAATTATTCAACATTTATGCATAAGTAAATGGTTAAACCAGAAGACAGTTCTAGAGAAACTTAGCAAGTCAGAATTGTTCACAGCGATGGTGATGGTAACCAGATGTCCACAGTGTTAATTGCCCCTAAAAGCTCATTCACAGAAAGCTATTTACATGAAATGGTTATGAATACACTGCCTGTAGAGCAGGGCTGGTATGTAACAGAATACAAGTATTGGCAATACGTATTCAGAATACAAACATTAAATTCTTCTCTAAATCTTCTTATCTAAATCTTTATTCATTCCAAATTACATATTATGAAGGCAGTATTTAGATTACAGCTAATTTTTAAGAGAATTCTTTTAAGAAATATATACCATCTTTCAAAAAACACATCAATACTTGCTAAGTGCTTATTTACATACAGCATGTAAAGACTTACTCTAAAGAAGACCGCAAAAAATGGCATCTTTACAACCACTGAAGTTCCTGCTAAAGCCTGAGTGGACTGATAAATCACTGTGATGAGCCTGTTATTAAACTGAGCATTAGTAAACTCTTTTGAGGGATGATTGAACAGCTACTCACTTCTAAATCAAATTTGCAAGATTTGGTTCATGGGATATGGCCAGTTTTTGGCTTAGGTCTTGAAAGGGCAGTGGGATTATTGGAGCAGCAGTGATGAGAGAAAAAATAACACTGAAGATTTTGTATTCATCTTTGTATTCTTTTGAGTAGTTAAATTTTTCATGAAATATATTATCAGAAGAATAGCATGAACAAAACTGCCAACCAGAAACAGTGAGGAACAGCATGAAATAAATCAAATTTACAGCAGCGTCTTTTCTAGGTATTTTATCAATATGTATTCTGTATTTACTCTAAAAACACTTATGTGTTGATGTGGAAAATGTTGCTGAATACATTTAGGACAGTGCATTCAGTATTCAGCCATCACTACTTTTTCAAAGTATTTTGCTCAACCCTGCAGATGATGGAGACAGTGTTTTAGCTTAGAGATGAGGTTTTGGCCTAAATAGTACACTTAAAAGCAATTCATGGTAGGAGAGATACACACAGGGCGTTGTAAAGCAAATTAGTCCCTAAAAGAAAATATGTTTTTCCAGATTCACATGTGTTTTACCATTACATTACATTACAAACAAAAACATAGTAGAAGCACATGTAGGTTTACTGGTAATTTTGAATGATAATGAACTGGTTATTTTTGCATTATATGCATTAAAACTCCTGGTTCATGTTACCACCATAGAATTGCTGAGTTTCTCTACAATGAACCATTTCATATGAAACCACTCTGAATTACATTGTTTACCTCTCAGTGTCAAGTGTCCAAGTACTTATTTAAAATACTATACTAATAATAAAAAAATACAAATAACATTACAACACATTACTACAACACATTGCTACTATATAATAATTATAATAAAAATAATAATAAGTCAAATACAGTAAAACAAATACATAAATGATGTAATTAATAATAATTAATAATTAATACAAAATAACTTAAACAAAAATCGTATCACGATGATAACCAGACATCGGGGGATTCAAAACATGTTGCAAAGCTCCGGATACTTCTTATCATTTATTATTTTAAGGGATGTAATCCAACGCTCTATTTCTATTGTAAGCACCTACATTTTTTAATTCAATTTGAAAATTTGGTTTCATTAATAAAATATTTTGCGAATGAAATAAAATGATGATCCTTTTTTACTTTTATTATGATTGGGTAGGCGGGCTGATGACGTACTTCCTTTGGCGCGCGAGTTGGGGAATTCAAAGCTTGTTGTTGAGCCGTTAGAGCGGCAGATCAGACAGAACCACCCACCGCGGAGTCAGACTCTCAGACCCTCAGAGCGGCTCTGATATGTGTTAAAGTTCACATTTCTCTGGAAGCAGTTATAGCGGTATGTTGTGTTTAATTTCGTGTTTTTTGGAAGTGTTTTTCTCCTGTTTTGAAAGATAATCGGCTAACGAAACTTAGCGTTTGCAGCCAAACATTGAACATAAAGCTAGCTAGGTTAGCTAAGTCGCTTTTATTTTAAAAGTTAGCGGGACTGATGCTGATTTACCGAAACCTCCGTTAAATACAAGTTCATAAATCGGCTAAGCTGCGTTTTGTTATTTCTGGCAGCGTGTGTCATGTGCTAGCTTGCTAACAAAGCACAGTTATTTCCTCGAGTTGAATAGCTAAATTAGGCCAAACGACGAAACTAACGTGACTTTGTTCTTTCGGAGGGTCTTTTCTCCTGCCTTAACTTATTACGTTACCACCAAAAATCTTTCTTCGCGAGTTGTACTACCTCGCTTAGATGGCCACATTGCTGTGTATCTAGCTAGCTAGCTAGTTAGCTGTTTTAACAGCTTGAGTTGTGGTGTTAAACATCGGGCAGAAGTTACAGTCCTCGTTATTTCTGTTGGATGTGAAGGAATGCTGTCTCTTTTTCAGACGCGTTAAGTTGTAGCTAGCTAGCTCGGTTGTCTGACGTTTGTTCTATGTTAGCAGACATGTCGTGGGATTTCGTTGTTCCAGTTTCTTTGGATGACCTGTTAAAATCAGGAGCCATCAACCAGTATGTGGTACAGGACGTACTGTCTCCTAAACAACTGCCCTCTCATCTCAGCAGTAAGTATATAGTTAGTATAGATTAAGAGACAGATGTTTTTCTTGTATCTCTTCCTGCTATTGTCACTGTCGGGACAAAACCCTGTATCTTTAATTACTATTTTTACTATTTTTTTAAGAGGTTTTGTTTCAACAGCGATGAAATGATGTTGTCTTGTTCTGAGTGTTGTAGAATGTACACATCTTTTACTGAAATGATAAAATGTACAGTTGCACTCAATTATTCAACCCCCATTTAATATTGCTGGTTTGTAAATCACTGCTAGTCTATGAGGCTACAAAATTACACAATTAAGCCTTTGGAAATGCTATAATGACAATTCACTTAAGCTTTGACGAATACATAAATTCCACCCGTACATGTCTTCAAGCAAGAAAAGCTCGGAGAATAAAGCACCTAAAAAAGGCAACAGCTACAAGATTTGTTTTGCTGCTGCAAGAACTGGCAGTCTTGCCTGTTTGACTGGCATCATGGATTTTTTGCTGTACCAGGCAAGAATGTGTTGTCCTTAGTGCATAAATTAAAGCTTGGTGATCTTTTGAGAGTCTTGCTATCTCTTTGCTAGTAGCACTGTGATTTTCCCTGGTTGTGGGACTGAAAAGGGTTATCTTATCTAATTGGACTTTCCAGCAAGATGGTAAGGATACATCCAAGTGAACCAAAACTCGGTTCAGGGGTCGGTCCTAGAGTGGCCATTTCAATCCCTGGATTTAAATCCCATTAAATATCTTTGCTGGAATTTAAAGAAAGCTGTGGTGAAACAGAAACCAAGGAACGTTAATGATTTGCAAGGTTTTGCACATGAGCAATGAGCAAAGATTCCAGTAGAAAGGTGTCAGAAGCTTGTTAGCACCTATTGGAAGCGTTCATTGGAGTATATAAAATGTAAAGAATGTGCCAAAAAATGCTCACTTTGGACATTGAATAATTTTGCACATGGACAGTTATAGAGAGAAAGATTTTTCATTTGAACTGTTTCTAGTAAACTCAACTTTGTTTACAAAATCACGTCAACATGTAGTAATAAACCTTCTTTGATGGTTTACTAACATCGTTGGTAGATTTTCATCAAATGGTTTGGTTTACTAACAGCTTGGTAGATTTTCATCAAATTTTGTTTATATTACCAAACAGCCTTGCGCTTTGAGGGGGTTGAATAATTTTGAGTGTGACTGTAGATAAGTTATCAATCACAGTTATTTAAAAACAAAGTCACATAAAGACCTTAAATATGGCCACACACAGTTGCCTAAAATGACCCAGCACAAGCCTGAAGTTCATTACAGTATGGTGTTGTCCTTTTTCCTGACTCAGGCTTTAAAGCTGCTTTGAGGAGCCAGGGCCCACTGTGCGTACTGGAACATTTTGACACTGTGTACAGCGTTCTACAGTGAGTACAACATCTGATTGCTGCCTATGCTCCATTTTGTATTGCATCTGATTGCATGATATAGCTGTAGTTTCTGTTGCTGAAGTTGGCTTTTTATGTCCCCTGGTTTTGTTTAATATCTGCTTGACCTCAACTTTTAAAGGCATTCTCGCACAGTGGATGTGGCTTTGAAAGAGGACACCCTGGAGTTTCTCATACAAGGTTGGTTTCAGTGACTGAAATTTCCTCTGTCATAATACAATAACTAGATCTTTTATGATTCACCACTTATTCCTGTGTGTTTTCAGTGGTCAGGGGCCTGTCTGTCTCTCTGCCGTCCCTCCTCATGTCTGGCACTTTGTCAGCAGCGGACCGCAAACAGCAACTGAATGCAGTCAAGATGAGTGTGTTTCTGCTCTGTAAACTCACAGAGAACCTAGAGAGTGACTCCTGCAGGGAGAGCATCGTCACCGCTCCCAGCAAGGTACAGCGCATGCATTGTTGTAAAGTAAATTGTTATTTAATAATTGAAAGCTAGTGAGGACCAGTTAGTTTGGTTGTACTTGAATAATCTTAGCTGGCTTTCATTCATTACTTGCAATGTTAGCAGTTGTTTGAAATTGTGGCTTTCAGCCTGTTGCACTATGGTACATCAAGAGTTATTGTCTTCATTGGCTCTCAGTGCGCAGTGTGTCCTTGATAGCTATTTAAGATAGACTGTCCTTGCTTTGAATGTCTGTTTGGGGAACGGTACCCAGAAGAAAACTAGCCAGTTGTGGTTGAGCCCAGTGATGAGACTATGGCACACGTGAGCTGAATGACTGAGAGATTGTGTTCTTGAGCTCACTGATTGGTGGGTAATCTTGACTGAGCTGTGGAGATTGGCTGCTCAGTTGTAAGGGCCCACCTAAAGTACACCTAGCGACCAATCACATTAATACCTTCTCCCAAAGAAATGGGTTCTGGGAAGTGATTGGTAGCATACAGAGTGTGTGTGTGTGTGTGTGTGTGTGTGTGTGTGTGTGTGTGTCAGTGAGCGCAGAGTCACTTTTCTCTTTCTGGGTCACACAGCTTTGAGCTTGTTCTTTGGTAATCTGAGGGCAGCCAACAACTGGCAGAAAATTACCTCTTGACTGTGTGCTGCAGTTCATGTATTTTGACTGTAGTGCTGGTGTAACACAGAACAGCATACCTAGGGCAAATGTCCAGTGTTGCAGCCCTAAGTGGAGTCTCAGTGACTCTTTGTCACAGTAAAGTTGTTTATAGCATGTCAGTATTGCAAACCGTCTTTTTATTTTAGCTATTTATAGAACAACGCAAAGCTGAAATGAATATAATTGAAACTTGGTTGTGTGTTACAGGGCCGAAAAAAGGAGAAAGCATCTGGTAAGGGTTTGCAGCAGTGGGACAGTGAGAGAGAAACAGTGCTGCAATGCCTGACACAGCTGCTCCAGCTGGATATCCGCTCCCTGTGGAATCTCTCTCTGGTGGAGGAAGAGTTTGTCAGGTGAGTCCCCAAGCCTCTAATTGTTTCACTGTATTAGAATTATTATTTTTTTATATATATAAATAATTATTCAATTGCTGGCTGTTTGTTTCTCTGTCATCTCTTTATCTTATTCTGTTTTTGTTTTCATACAATGACTGATGACTGTTCTGTCTGGAATTGTGCATATTTCTCTCTCTCTCTCTCTCTCTCTCTCTCTCTCTCTCTCTCTCTCTCTCTCTCTCTCGTGTGTAGTTGTGTGACCTGTTGTTGTTATAAGCTGTTGGAGAATCCCACTATCGGTCACATGAAGAACAAACCCACACGTGATGCCATCATCCACGTGCTGGGAGTGATGGTGAAGAAATATAACCACATGCTTGGTTAGTAAACATATGCTCACGTCCATAATGAAAACAGCGTTGTGCACATAGCACACAATTTTGTAGCATGCGTGAATTTACATGGAAATGTGTTTGTGTAAGGTTAGGGTCAAGTTTATAAACGGTTTTAACAGTTTATTGGCAGCAACTACACGATACAATATGTATCACAAAAAGGTGCAGTGATTCAACACCAGAGGTACAGTAGACAATTTTGCCAATATTAATCTTGAAGTAGACCTTTCTTAAACATTAGTAAGGATAAAGTAATACAGGAGAAAATAATGTTATTGATTTTTTTTGATAATGATTTCTTTAATATTTCTGTTAAAAAAAAAAAACTGATGTATTAATAAATAAGTAAATAATGTTGAGGAAGCTGTTAAGTGTGTTAAAAGTGTAATACACACTAGTGTACTGGCCAGAGCACAGGGTGGCAGAGCAGTGACATTTCTCCATTTAGAATCACAAAGCCAGCAGCTAGTGCTGGACGGTTTTCACGATGAATTCGAATTAACGTTTTCACACGATGTTAGAAATGTGACAATCGAGTTTGTACATGTGTACATTGCTTGTACTTTAATTTAAATACCACCAAAAACTATTCACATTTTCAAGACGTACGAAAAACGCATCTTAAATAAAAAAAAAGGTCGCTGGCCTCAGCCGCGAGGTAGAAAAAACACACAAACACTCCATGATGGAGGCGTGCGGCGCTTCGCAGAGCAGTGAGCTCGTACCAAAGAAAGGTGGAAACATCAGTTCAGGGGTGTGGATTTGCAGAGTGAGATGTTGAACAAATTCATGTAAAGTGTAAGTTGTGTCGAAAGACAGTTGCAGCCAAATGTAACAGTACGACGAATCCGTCCCTGCTCTTACGACACAAACAACCAGTGGAATGGGAGCAACGAGTGAAACAACACGATGAAAATGAGCGAGTTTTCAGTGCGCCAGGGCACATTGTTAAGGCCTCTGTACTTCTTGCGAAACGAGATTCTCGAGGGTTGTGCGAAGCCGAAAACGCCTTCGCGAGCGTACTTTCTGTGGATTCGTGTTGCCTGTCGCGGATGCTCCACGTGATGCTTTGACGTGATAACTTTCATGACTGCTGGAAAACAATTCTTTCAGTTCTAACTATGGTGACGTTCGAGTTCAGAATACTGCCACCATTTAAGGTGGAAAGGGAAAACCTCGTCCTCTTGTGAACCTAAATATAAGATAACCTGTATGTTTTGGTGCTGAGTACTACCGAATAATAGACTTAATATCTTATATTTAGGAGGTATTCATTGTTTATTTAACAAATGCGCGTTTCGCAGTGAAATATTAGTAGCCACGTTTACATGCAGCCTGATAATCCGTTAATAATCCAACTAATAGCTCAATTGGAATAGAATACGTCCATGTATACACCTCAATCGGACTAGTCTATTCCGATTGAGGTGTATACATGGACGTATGCCATTCGGAATACAATTTCTATCCGATTGAACGAGGTGGGTAAACCTCTAAATAATCCGTTAAATAGAAGAATAATATCCGTGTAAACGCCTGAATCAGATTACATTCCAATCGGAATGTGTAAATACGTTCTGCGCATGTGCGTCGCGTCATAGCGAAAGTTTATAACACAACTTTATTTATAATACAACATGGCGGAGCAGAAACTGGTCTGCAGAAGAGACGAAGTTTATGCTCTGAGCTTTAAAAGACGGCGGTGGGATGGACGTCCAGCTTATGTGTCTCAGAACTTCTTTAATAAGGACATGTGAAGGACGTTTTCCTGAGTCTGACATCATTTTAAAGCAATTAAAAACACATTTTGCATCAGATTACTTGTAGTGCGCATGTAAACAAAGATTTTCCATCAAATTGTTGAATAGAGTGTGCATATTAGGGGCTGCGGGAAAAACCCGATTCTTAGATGCAACGTGATACGGACGTGAGCGATTCTGAATCGATTCATAAATGTAAAAAATAGATTTTCTAAATATTTAATTTATAACGTAATGTTGACGGAACGCAAAGGGCGGAACTTGGAAGTGGGTAAGTGCAGCACCCTGGACTGTGCGGCGGCACACAACAAAAACACACATGGATGAGTGAGAAATCAGACCGGCTCTCTCTGCATTAAAGCCAGGTTAGGTCAGGAGTCACAACACAAATGTTAAAAAGAGCCATTTTGTCCTTTCAACAAAGTCAGACCACTTCTGAAGCCACAACATGTAATGCCCAGTATGTCTCAGTATGTGTTAATGTGCTATTATGGGCTAAAAATATAAACGAGAGCGCAGATTTACTTCGCTCTGCTTTAAGCTTTAGCTACAGCCGCTTTCCTCCCATCTCCGCCAGAAAACTTTTCTTCAAAACTAGAAGTTTCTTGTAAAATGTCTCAGCGTCCGGCTGTTTTACGAGGGTGAAGTCGCTTCTCATTCGCCAGCTTCTCATTCAAATTTTCCCGTTCCACCTTAAATTCTGCCTTAGGCGCCGAATGTAACTGCTGCACCATTTAAGGTGGAACGGGAAAATATGAAAGAGAAGCGAGTTCATTTTCGCAACTTTTTAGAGAAAAACAGTCTCTCAGCAGATTTAACCAACCGCACTGCTTATAAATGCGAATAAGTCCTCCAAATGTTCGTCTTAAATTATAAAATGACTAAAGAAAACGGGAAGGATGGCTGTAACGTGCTGCATGGACACCCATTACCACTGGATCATATTTCAGGGTAACGGCGCATTTTATCGCAGATGAGTGGCAGCAGCGTCTCTGAACGAGAGCCTTCTAGTTCACTTGCCACATCACTTCCGTTTGATTTATTAATAAAAGATATTTTAGATATTTAAAGCAAAGTATTTGTAATGATCCATAATACATTTACATTATGGATCATTACAAATACTTTGCTTTAAAACTACCAAGTTTAGACAGTAGGAAGATAGAAATTCTGTATAGAGAAAAAAGATGCATCGATAATCGTTTTATAATCGCATCGCAGCCCTCTGAATCGTAATCGAATCGTGAGGTGCCTAAAGGTTCCCATCCCTAGTGCATATAAACACCTCAGTCTGAATCTGTAATTGGATTGTATTCAATCGGATTGGCAAAAATCTTTGCATGTAAACATAGCCAGCGTCTGCCGAAGCTCAAAGTTGTCTATCTTTGTTTAATGGCACGCCTTTTTTACCGACCAATCAGAGGCTTTGTCGCGTAGTGTCTTCGTCTGCGGGGTTCGCCCAGCTGCCATGAGCGCGACACAGAGAACGAAAGCCTCCGCACGACGTCTGCGGTTGTTCTTTTCTCCGCAATTACGACACATTGTTCGCTGAAGCCAGGCGAACATTGTCTCCGCAAGAAGTCTGCTGAGGCCTTTACCTTTCAAATGGCGTCTCTCAGGCCTAAACCGGAAGACAGGCTTGTGTTCCGTTCAAGAAACCTGTAAAGAACTTTGTGGTTGGCACTTAATGTAAGGAGGTCATGCTTGCACATTATTTGAAGTGAGAGTTGCTTGTGAGCTTTAAGGAAGCTGCTTGCTGTTCTTAAAAGAATATCACTAATTAAAATGGTTCTTTTACGTTATTTTTTTGTGCTGGATGCTTGCACAGTATGAGTCCCTTGAAAGGATATTTAAAAGCAACACTATTTGCACAATTTAATAATTATAGGTGGTGCTGTTACTATTTTTGCACTTCTGCAGTCTTTTAATTTAAAGTGCAAAAACAGAAATTGTCTTTTTCCAATGGCATTATGCAAGGACCAAAAAAAAATAATAGTAATAATCAATGAGAATTATCGTTAATAAATTTGAAAATAATCGAAATTTTACTTTTTTGCAATATCGCCCAGCCCTGCCAGCAGCACAGGCATTAGTCCGTGTGTGTGTGTGTGTGTGTGTGTGTGTGTGTGTGTGTGAGTATGAGAATGCAGCTGTAAAATTAACAGCAAACGGAATCTTCATTCAATTCAATTCAATTCAACTTTATTGTCATTATACTGAAACAGGGTTGTACAGTACAACGAAACACTTTTAGGCTAGATCTCCAGTGCAATTACAGACAACATAGTGCAAGACAGGACATAGTGCAAGGACATAGAACAATAATACAATATTTAAGCCTGCCAGAGCATCTAAGAGAGTTAATCATAGCAGTCTGATTCGTTTCTAACTTGAATGTGCTGCCTACAAGGACAATATGCTTTAACAGTAGTTACTCTCACTTTATTCATGTGTGAAACTGTACAGCAGTTTATACAAAGCACAAAACCCTAACAAATAGAGCACAGGTTTGCCATGTGCTAAAAGTTATTGCACGGAAATGAATGCAGCATCAGTTTCACTCGTATATACGCCCCATGTAAAAGTACATTCATAAATACTGATATAGTATCATCCACATATAGATATGTTTAGTAAACCCTGCCTGTGTTTTGTGTGTTGTGTCTGTGTTGCAGGAGCATGTGTGAAGGTGATTCAGTTGCTGCAGCACTTCGAACAGCTCTCCTCGGTGTGTGCACAGGCGGTTTCAGCTTGGAGCTCCGAATATGGAGTCAAGGCCATTGTAGGAGAGATTATGAGGTAAAATTTGCTTTCTGCAGTAATCCTCCAAATGAGCATGCAGGAATCAGCATTGTAAACGTCAGTGAGGTTTCTCTTTTCTTACAAACACTATTCATGCCAAAAAAGTTGCATAGCAAGAATTTGCTTTCATTTGATTTTGTGAAATTTGTCCCGAGATGCATGTGTTCTGATATTCATTGTGCATTGTGTGCTTGTGTTCCAGAGAGATTGGGCAGAAGTCCAGTGATGAGTTGGCCAGAGAGGGCTCTGGAGTGAAGGCCTTCTCTAGTTTCCTGTCTGAACTCAGTACTCAAGTTCCTGAAGCCATGATCCCAAACATCAGTGTACTCCTTACACACCTGGAGGGAGAGGTACGTACACGCACAGAAACCAACATCATTTAATTGCACACAGACTTAGAGGGAGGGGTAAAGAGAGGCAAAGGCTGCTATGCTCAACATCAGTGATTTGCATAGACACTTAAAGGGAGAAGTAAACTATACATGTGCGTGCACATGTACATACCTCTCTTCTTTGATGTTGCCCCGTGATGACACCAAGGCGAATGTGAGCTCACTGGGTAGGAGTCTGAGTTCTTCTGCATTGCTCTTGGCTGGTAATCTTGACAGGGCAGTGGAGGTTTGCTGCTTTGTTGTAAGGGCCTGCCTATAGACATACAGCCCCCCTCCTTTCAGCTCTTCTGTAAAGAAAAGCAGGAGAGAGAGTGTGTGGTGCTGACATTATGTGGGTGAGCGTTTATCCGTGTATGTGTTTGCAAGTAGATTCTCAGTTCTCTGATTTATCCAGCATGCTTTGAACTTCATCTTTGGTAATCTGAGGGTGAGCTCTCAGTGAATGTGTTTTCAGTGACGATATGACGGGAGGATGAATTTGAATTATTTTTTATTATTATTTTTTTTAATCCTCTCTCTCTTTCTCAGAGTGCGTGTATGCGTGTAGCGGTGTGTGAGGTGTTGGGGGAGGTGCTGGTACGCGTGTTAAGTGGTGATAAGCTGGACGATTCTGGCCGAGCAGATCGAGATCGTTTCCTTGACACGCTTCAAGAGCACATTCATGACGCACACTCTCATGTAAGGGCTCGGGTGCTGCAGGTGTACAGCCGAATTGTCAACAGCAAGGTATGTGTCTGTGCTCTGAAAAAAAACTTTCTATGTTTTGGGAGCAACAGGGTAGTCATTTTGTCTCTTGCTGTCTCTCTCTCTCTCTCAGGCTTTGCCATTATGTAGATACACTGAAGTGATGGAGTTGGCTGTTGGTCGTCTTGGTGATAAATCAGTCCTTGTGTGTAAGAGTGCCATCCAGCTGCTGGCTGCCTTCATCGCTCATAATCCATACAGCTGCAAGGTAAACTGTAAGCATGTACTGATTTTGGGTTTTTGAAAATCTTCAGCTATATTGTGGTGCATTGATCTAATAGTGATTGACTTGCATCGGATTTGAAACGTTCTCATTGTTTATAATTGATTATAATTATATTCAGTAGTTTTCACTTGTTTGTGGACGAAACAATTCTTGAGTTGCACTGTTACAATTTTTACCTACCAATAGCAATTATTTGAGCTGCCCAGAATTGTTTTCCACAGTTGTTAGCTTTCACAATTACATTTGTCGTAACAAACAGGATGATAACTGGGTGCTTTTCATCTATTAGATTGAGGTAAATATGAAAACACATTTCTTATGAGTACAACAAAAGTTTTGACTCGTTCTATATCACATTATGGGAGAGCAGCAGTGAATTATGCCTGTTTGTAGAGCTCAGTCTGTGTCTGTAATCAGCCAGGAAGCAAGATAGCTAATCAGCTTTTCCTTTGATAGTTTCATATAATGAACAAATAAAAGACAAATTGTTAATTGTAATTATTTGTATGGCAGTTAATCGTCAGCCAAAATTATGATTGACATAATGTGCCTGTTCTTGAGCTGTGTAAAAATCCTCTTTAAATTCTTGCACATATTGTAGTAGTTCTGAATCATACCAAAATAACAATCAAATCTAATCTTGTGGTGAAACCAACTACTGATCCTGTCAGCCTGCTGGTATTGTCTGATACGGCTACTGAAGTTAACTCCTTCTCTCATCTGTAAGTAATGTTGAGTTTCTGGTTTATTCAGCTGAGCAGTGTGGACTTAAAGAAGCCTCTTGAAAAAGAAACGGCCAAACTCAAAGAGATGAGAGAGAACATGAGTGAGAAAGCACCAGGTACATACTTCGTCTTTTTTGAAATTTTTGTTTTTAATTCTTTACTTGGTACTAGTGGATGTTGCCCAGTGATGATACCAAGGCGAATGTGAGCTCACTGGATGAGAGTCTGAGTTCTTCTGTGCTCTGATTTGGCTGGTAATCTTGACAGGGTAGTGGAGATTGGCTGCTCTGTTGTAAGGGCCCGCCTACAGTCACAAAGCTCCGCCCCTCAGATTCTCCTTCAGAGAAATGTAGGGGAGAAAGTGGGAGGTGCTGATAGTGTGTGTGTGTGTGTGTGTGTGCGTGTGCGCAGACACAGATTCTCAGGCTCTCTGTTGTATTCAGTCAGCTATGAACTCTATCTTTGGTAATCTGAGGGTGCAGACCAGTTCAGTGATGATTATCTATGCTTTATTTGCATCAAAAGCATAGATAAAAACATTACTAGTTACATTTTGATTATCTTTTCCTACCATCTTTCTGATTTAATGATTTTAACCCCATATCTTGTGTCAGTTGCTGTAATCTCAGCGGCTGATTTATGGGCTGCGATGGAGCCGGAGGTCTCTCACACAGTCCGATCTCACTTGGAGGTTGGAAGTGATGCAGAAAGGGAGGAGGATGATGAAGAGGAAGAGGAGGGTGTACAGGACAGGAGCGACCGAGACACTGCTATCCAAATCGCCCAGTATCTCAGACATAATAAATACAGGTAACAGATCTGATATTTGAAATACATGGAAAAGGGCAGGGTATAATTTTGTTGATTTATTGATTTGTTCTTACATGCAAACCTTTTTGAAGATTTGAAGAGTTGTTATTTTTTAGAAGGGAAGGTGGTTCACTGCCAGAAAAGAGTTTTCAGAGAAAATCCCTCCTCTCCCCCAAACTCAGCACAGCAGCAATTTGTTGTCATTTTTCAGCCAACCCAGAGATGAAGTATTTCATTTTCATAGACCAGTCAGAACGAAGGTATTGTCACTGAAAAGTGAAAAGAGCCACGTTTTGTGAGCAGTGAACTTGAATTTGCAACCAAGATGATCAGTTACCACTTTGTTGAAATTGATTTTGTTGATTTCTGTGGGCTGTGGGTGACAGTCTGCAAATAGCATTGCAAATAAGGGGTCCAAGCAGTATGTGGCTTCTATTTATAATAGATTTGGGATCGTTAAAGATATCTACCAAAACTTGTGTGAATATGAGTGGATTAGACACAGCAGTGTTGCTGGAGTTTTTAAACACTTTCAACTCTCTGTCTGCTCTATTAGACACTCCTGCATTTTTGGTCCGCATTGCAGATGTAAAGTCAGAGACGATAGCTCATGTCTTGCTGCACAGTACGCCTGGGCAATATCTAAAAATAATTAGCACGATATTTTCTGGTTAAAAATCATGATTATTGGTAATATATTATTTCATATGTATTGACTATACGCTGACATTGTTAAATATCTCAGTATGTGCTAAAGACGTTAAAATGTTAAACTAATAAAATAGGTGGGTTGACTTTTGTTGAAACGGGACATAATGGCTCTTCTTATGATTTGGGTTGTCGGCCTCTGATAGACTTTAAGGCAAACAAGATCATGAACTTCTTCTGAAACTTCAGGCTGCAAGTGGTTTTTAAACCCATGGCCCCACGCTTTCCACATTTAAAAACAAGGTGTTTTTTGTTGATAGTTTTTACAGTATAGCTAACCACTGGCAAACTTAAGCTGTACAGGAAATACTGTGAATGTCACATGCAGTAGGCCCCATTATGACAGGGTCGTAATAGTAAAAGTGAATAAAACATTGTGTACATATTGTTCAGTACTATTCATTAACTTTTTTGTCTGAGAACACCAGCCATAGACGGGGATCAGAAGAGCTTTCTCTCCAGGTTAGAACTAACTTAGCTGCTCTAGAGTAATATCCACTCACCAAAGCTCATTTTGTTTATTTATATATTTATTTTTTTACTGCAGATAGTCACTGTGAGTCCTGATCGTTTGAAGAAAAGGGTGATGGGGGCTAACAAAGTATGCAGAGAAACAGATGGGCCACAGTCTGTAATTGTAAAACTATAAAGTGCTCCTATATAATAAGTGGAGCTGTTGGAATCGATAATGAGTGTAAAAACAAGCAGATGTTCCTAAATGACGTGTGTGTGTGTGTGGTACAGTAAGCAACAGGTTTCTGAAATTGTCACCTTTTCCCTGCTCATGAGTTTTTATGTCTGTTATTGGTTATTTTTTGAAAATGATCTGTGAATTGCACACGTTTGTGTCTGTTTTTAGGCAGGCTGTTCGCCTGTGTACACAAGCCCACAGTCTTTATCCTGAGTCTCCATTCTTCTCCGCCCTGTCGGATATCAACCAAGACACTCTTCTCAGCACACTGGCTTCTCTCTTCAAAGGTAATTGCGTGGGAGTGAGTACACACTCGTCCATGTATTAGTGGCCTTGAGTCTTGAATGCTAGACTTCAAATAAAATTTAATTTGGAGATTATGCTGGTTTATTCTAGCATTCAAAAAGCACAAATACAGGGAGATTCGCTCGAAAGAGGCCCTGAATATTCTGTTGTATTCTGTCGATTGCACTACATGCAGTGCTGGAAGTTATCTCCATTTTCTGCCAGACACATGAAGGGGTACAGGGGTATGCCCCCGCAAGTTGCAAACGGAGGTTAAATGTCGTAACGGCTTTCCTGCATCTACCTCATCGCTCCAACGCAGGGGCATCCCGGCTTGTTCGAATCTCCATATGCTGTGCACATTGCACATTGTTTCGTTCAGATTGCTTCATCCTAGGGAGAGTTATTACAACCTCTTTCCAGTGAATTTCCCTGTATATATAATTTTCTGATTCACACAGATCAATTTAAAATACAGTGTCAGACTTTTGTTTGATAGACTAGACTACTGTACATGGTGCAGAGGTCATTGGTTAGAACTTGCAGTTGATAATTTTAAAGTTTTGTATTTTTGTTTTTTTGTAGGAGAACGCAGATGTTCTGACTCCATACTAGGCATTGTACTTGTACTTGGCACTGCTCACAGCACAGTCTGTGTGTGACTGCACAGTTCCAGGAGCTCTAACTATAATTTCTTACCTCTGTAAGGTCCCGAGGAGAACCAGGCGTCAGAGCCCGTAGCGAGTGATCAGCCCCCCACACCACAGAAGGAGGGAGGAAAAGAGGCAGATGACGGGAAGGAAAATGAACTGAAAAAGCAGGAGATGTTGGTTCAGTACCTAAAAGATACAGAGAGCTTTGCCCTGCAGGTGGAGAGAGCCATTGCGGTCATTAACAACATGCTTTACTGGAAAACTACTACAGGTAACTAGTTATTTTATATCGAGCAAAAGCACTACAAATTATTAGTTAAAGATATGCTCTGTTGGAGTATTTAATGTGATCTGCAATACAATGACATCTCAAAAATTATTTTCCATTTCAAAGAAAATCGATGTAATGGATATATTATTGTTCTTGTTTGAGGACCAACAACACATCATTCACTTCAAGTTCTGTGTTATATGGGTATGTTGGCATGTATAAACACTCAAAGGAGCTTTCTGGAAATATATCTTTTCTGTCCTAACCAGTGGTTCAGGAGGCAGTTCAGTTCTGTGTTACTGCACGTGAGTTCAGCGTAGCAGACTCCGTGTGTGGGGTGAGGAAGATGTTGCCTTTGGTCTGGTCTACTGATGCTGCAGTCAAAGATGCTGTGGTACAAGCGTATAGACGCCTCTACCTCAACCCTCAGGGGGACAGCACTAGGTGGGTGAGACTTACCTCTAGGCCTGTCTGTTCTCTCATGTATGTGACCTTTATCATTTGCAAGGGTGTGTTTGTCCGATTAAGAAACGCTGTCTGTCAAATGAGAATAAGCTCTAGCTCAGTGGTCTCCAACCTTGGTCCTGGAGAGCTTCCTTCCTGCAGAGTTTAGTTCCGACCTGTATCCAGTAAGTGGTTTCACCCCTTACCTAACTGTAATACATCTGATCCAGGCAATCGGGGACTTGGGAAGAGGTTAATTAGCTGGACCAGGTGTGTGGTTGTAGTTAGATTCTGCAGGAAGGTATCTCTCCAGAACTGGGGTTAGAGACCACTGCTCTAGCTACTAAGCTAGATAGACCATTGTAGAACTGTGCCATAAACAGTGCCCACCCCCATTCTGCTCTCTAATCCTGACCAGAGCCAAGGCCCAGACTCTTGTGGAGAGTCTTTCTGAGTTGATGATTGATGCCTCAGTGGGAACCATCCAGTGTCTGGAGGAAATAGTGAGTAACTGGTTTACTTACTAGGATGCACACATGGTTAGAAAACTTCTGGTGTTGTCAGTTTGTACTTTTGCCCTCTTGAATGTGATTTATAAAGATTAATGTCCCCAAATCCTAGTCATGGAGTCCCGTTCTGCTACACACTTTCTCTGCTTTAGAACACCTTGAACCCTAGGTTTGTTATTCAGCTATTAATCTTAATACTTGTTCAGTAGCTGCTATGAATTTGGTAACTACCGTAAAACTAAAATAAAAGCTAGATATGGGCCTAAATATGGCCATTTAAATTTAGTAAGCGGAGTGTGAGGTTGGTGCTGAGAACCCAGGAGTCCTGGACCAGGATTGGAAAATGCTTGAAATAAAGCAGACAGCTTAAAAAGTACATCAGGTATTGTTTGAGACACTGCACTAAACTGCAGACCCTGTAGTTTCACACCATGCTCTCTGATCTCCTATCTCTAGGTGCAAGAGTTTTTCAGCAATGAGAATGCCTTGCAGGCATCTGTGGTGCAGGTTTTGTGGGAAAGATTCTCAGGGAAGAGGGAGACCTCTGCACTGCATAAGAGAGCTGCAGTCCTGCTGCTGGGCATGGCGGCACGGTAAGATGCAGACCTTAAAAATGCTATTAACTGTAATGTAAAACGATCATTTTCACTGACCCTAAATCATTACTGGAGGACAGCTCTGTCCAGCTCAAATCCAACAGAGGAAACACAAAAGACCAAAAGTGTACCAATCAAAATGGCTAACGTTGATGATCTTATTTTTATAAGATGGCCCCTTTAAAGCTGTGATTTGTGAAGCCATTTATAACCATATGCATCATAATTATTTTATGTTCACAATGGGTCACATTCACCAACTATTCAGAAGAAATTTCTTCTTAAAACCCACTTAGGCAGTTTTTCACTTTCAAGATTTTGACATTCACCAAAGTTTTTTGTTTGTGACTTGTTCTTAGGTAAGAACAGATCTACGCACACTCGAGCACAAAGGTGTGAACAATGTCATGAATCTGATGACTTTTTCTTAGGACCTTCTCATGAACAAATTTATGAAAAAAAAACATAGCAAGATATTGGTGAATGAGGCCCATTGAATCTTGAATGTTATTCCCTTTGATGCCTCATTTTACAAAAACAGTTACACGCCACTGTGAAAAATGCCCATGAATTTCACTCAAAATGAGTCACTTGCACTTTATCCTCCTTGATATTTCTAGTATGTTTACTCAGTTTGTCTGTGTGTTCATGCAGTGCTGAAAGGGAGGTGGTGCTCAGTAACTTGGACACGCTCTGCTCTGTGGCACTGGGAGAGAAGGTGACTGAAGATTACCTGTTGGCAAGAGACACAGTCATCACCATCACCAATATTACTGACCATGTCAGAGTAAGTATATGCTGCACCCACAAAATGCAGACTGAATTCTACAGTGACATAAGCTAAAAGCAGTACCAATCTGTGCTAGCTGGCTGGCAGTACTTCCAGTTATTCTGGATAGTCATGGAGTAATTTGGTGAAAAATGAAATTAAACAACTTTCTCATTACCTCAGATGTGGTCAACCAGCAAGACGTTTATTGTCCTAAGTCTAGAAGTGTATACCTCACTAATTAGCATTGGGCAGACTGCATGTCTGAATGATCATCCATTTGCCTCAAACTCATTCAAGTTGTTAAATAATCTTAAAGACTTGTGTTCAGTTGCTAAGTCACTCCTTTTCCTGGTTTGTGTTTCAGCAATCTAAAGGACTTCCTTTCAGGCTGCCTGTGGATCACCATCTTTTCAGCTGTCTGACACAGGCCATTGCTGATGGTATGCTATTTGCTTAGGGACCCATCTAATATTGGTTTGTTTAAAATCCTAACCTTAGGAATACTGTATAGACTGTGATTTCCCTGTCCTGTGTAGGAGTGGTCTTGTCTGACCCCCACTGGCAGACTTTCATGGAGCAGGCCATTCGTCTCATCTATTTTCTGGCTGAGTCACCTGACAAACTGTGTGCCCGGCTCCTTCAGCGGTCCGCTCGACTCCTGTTGGAGCAGGTTACGGAGGGTGGGGAGCCCAACCAATCGCAGATATCAGAAGGGTCTCAGGACTCCGAGCAGCAAGGTAAAGTAGAGACATGGGTTCCTCAGGGGTGTATCCTTGGCCTATTTGATTCAGTGGATTTAATCATGTAGAATTGGGCTGAGATTTTAGCTGCAGTTTGGCAATAAGGGGACTTTCAACGTTTTGTAGAAGCTTGGTCATTGCAGAGGTTAGGCGTTCCACCCCACCTTATCCAGCTAGACTAGATCTGTATTCTAGAGCCAGCTGGTTAAAACAGGGTTTGAGCCAAGTCTGCAAGAGGGTAGATCATGACAGGGGTAGAAGACGTGGCAAAACAGAACATCACTCAGGATACTATTTTCATCAGTATGTGAAAATAGTACATTGGTGAAAATAGATATGTAAAAATAGTGAGATTCTTGTTTTCTGAGGTTTGTTCAGAAATAAATTACAAATGCACCAGTAGTGGTGTATTTGGTAAGTTGGTGTTGTGGAAGTGCAGACAGTTCCCACAATCAGCTGAGAAAAGCTTTTTGTGACATGATTTATTGTGATAATTGCCCACCCTTAGATCATAGTTAAGCACACCATATATTAGTATTACAGCTTCAGGAGTGATCTCTTAAAAGGGGGGAAAAGCTTTTTTTTTTTCTCTCTAAACTTTGTCTCTATCTGTCTATCTGTTTTGTGTGTGTGTGTGAGAGAAGTGAGCTGTGTGAGTTTGGCCCAGTTGTTGTCTCTGTGTGGAGCTGTGGCTTTCTGGCAGGTGTCTCACCTAGAGAGGAGTGTGAGTACTGAGCTGCGGAGGAGGAGAGGAGAGAAGGAGGAGAAAGAGGAAAAAGAGAAGGGGCCTGTTGGCAAGAACAAGGTTTGTTTCATTTTTTTTTTTTTTAATTATTATTTTGTCAAATCATTAGAGTTAGTTTTTTTTGGGACTTGAGCCCTTTTGGGACGGAATTAGTTTTTATGGGAAGGTGGGGTAATATAAATTTTGCCAGCATTTCTCAGATTTTAGTCCTTTCAGAATACACCACAGGCATTTTAAAGACTACGTGCTGCTGTGTCAGTAAACATTTTGTGAAACAAGCAGTAAAAATAATGCCAGGTTAACCCCATATTGGTAAAAACGCAATCGTATTCAGGGCTGTGGGTTACCGAGAACCTGGCGATATGATATGTTTAAAAAATCTAGGAATAGGTCTACAAAAGGATGGCATTCCACATAATCATCTGTATGTGGCCTTTTTCTTTTTTTTTTAAACCCAAAAAATAGTGTAAAACCTCTCCCCTACGTAATACTGGTAATGTTTTGCCTGGAACATATTTTAACCACATGAACCTGACGAGCCCTAGTGGGCAGTTGTATGTCCCCTTGTTAACAGTAAAATCATTTTATCAATAGTAATACCATGTTTTCCAGGGTTTCCTTCCTTGTTGGACGCACTGTGATTTTTTTTGTTTTTTTTCCAAGTGTATGCGCAAGCTCTTTCAGAGTGCAGTTCAGATCAGTGATCTCTTCGACAGTTTTCCTAAAATTAGTAATCAGCTCTTAATCGTGTAGTCTGACTTTTAGCACACGCAAACACAGTTAACAGCTGATATTTTACAGGTTTGGGTGTGTTGTGGATTTTTATTTTTTATTTTTTTAAACCGCTAATTAAATTGTGAAGGTTTGTATCACAGAAAGAGCATAATTAAACTTACAACACCTGAAGTCCTAACTAATAATTTGTACGTCCTGCTGTAGGAGGCCAATGACAGCTGTGTGGAGGAGGAGCTTGGGCTGACTGGGGCCTCAGCAGAGGACACAGAGGCAGAGTTCATCCGGAAGATCTGTGAAACAGAGTTGTTGGCTGGTGAGTGCCTTTTTTTGTTTGTTTGTTTGTTTTTTGTTTTGTTTTTTTTTACTTTTGTTTGTTTGTTTACTTTTTTTTCCCTAAATGTGGGGACACATTTTTCATGATATGATCCTTGTATTATAACAATGTTAATGGATTAGTATATGATCCCTTTAAATACCTACTAACCTGACATTCATATTCAGTTAATAATTTCATTTATTAATGTACATCATGATTGATCACTTCTACTGCTGTGGTAAAATGAACTTCTTTGCTTCTATTTAATGTGGTCTTCCTCCCTATGCATGTAAAGATGGGAACATGTTAAGTGTGTTCCTGCCTTTGCTGGTGAAAGTCTGCAGTTCTCCTGGACGATACTCTCACACACAGCTCACCACTGCTGCCTGCCTTGCCCTTTCCCAGTATATGATGATCAGGTAAAAGGAAAAAAGACACTTGTATTACTGTAGTTTAGTGCAGAGGTCACCAGTCTTATCCACAAGGTCTCCGTGTGGCTGCAGGTTTTCATTCCAGTCAAGCAAAAGCACACCTGATTCCACTTGTTTAATCAGTTTGTCTCAGTCTTCAAACAGTCTTCAAACGCCCTCATATTAGTTATATGAACTTCTGCTTGGTTGGGGTGAAAACCTGCAGCCACACCTGCCCTTTGCACAAAAGACTGGTGACCCTTGCTTTGTTGTAACATGGGGTGCTTTCATATCTACCTTGTTTGAAATATTTTCCACCATCTTTTTTCAGTTTATGCTTGGGTTTTCTTGGTTTTCTCCATCTGAGAGAGCGACTGCTTTACTTATAGGTGGCCGAGCCAAGTTTCTTTTCAAAAGACCCTTACTGTAACCATTGATCAATGATGATTACATTTTACACAATGGAAAAGTAAAACATTTACATTGACTGACTGCACCGAAAATATGAGCATAACTACTGAGCATTTTGCCAGACCAATCAATGAGCTCAATTTAAAGGTCTTATTGTTGTGATAATTGTAAGAATATTTATATATTTTATTTATATTTAAAATTGTTTGGTAAAATTATCTGCATTGTAATCAATTTATAAATAAATAAATAAATGACACTATGTCCCACAGGATAAAAACCTCTTGTGTTGTTAAAGTTAAAATAAAATAGGTCTTTGTATCCCTGCCAAATGTCTGACCAATCAGAGAATGCAAAGAACACACGTTTGTGTTATGTGGTGCACTTCAGCCAGTCTGAAACATGTCAGAAAACTCAAACTCTGGTGTGGATTTTAGCAAACAAAATGGGCATATAAAAAAGGCTAATTCTTTTCAATCCTGTTTAACAACTGTTGTAGCATAGTTCAGTTTAAAGAATAGCAGTTTGACATCTGTTTTGCCTTTTTATGTGGTAGCTATATACATTTTTGGTCGGTGTCAATTACTGTTTAAATTATAATTAAATGTTCTTTGTTCCTGATTTTCCCTTCCTCTCCCTCCCTGTTACCAGTCCAACAGTATGTAAGGATAATATCCGTCTACTCTTCACCGTGTTGGAGAAATCATCTCTCCCAGTTGTCAGAGCAAACACCATCATTGCCCTTGGAGACCTGACTGTTCGTTTTCCCAACATTCTGGAACCATGGACCCCCAACCTGTATGCCAGGTACTGTGGTTACCTTACCTAACAAAGTCAGGTCGTAACAGGCTTACAGGTCTATCTGTGCTTGGCTGCCTGAACACCTAATGTACACGCCATCCTAAAAAGCTGAGTGGAGCTGGCTATATAAGAAGTAAATTATTTATACAGCTCACTGCTTAAGATGTTTTGTTACCCTTTTAGTGTAAGTAGAAGCAACCACCATATAACCTATTGCTAATTGGGTGTCCACGCAGGTTGTGCGACGAAAACGCATCAGTACGTCTGACTGCCATCACAGTTCTGACCCAGCTGGTGCTGAAGGATGTCATGAAAGTCAAAGGTCAAGTCAGCGAGGTTGCTGTGCTCCTGCTCGACCCCGAGCCACACATCGCCAGCCTAGCGCTCAACTTCTTCAATGAGCTCTCTGCAAAGGTAACTACTTAATTAATCAGACTGGCTTATAAATCTGATAATCAGATGCTTCAAGATGCTAGTGACGTTGGGCTGTATTACAGACATAAATCTTATCTATTAAATCACCATGACAAATTCAGTTAGGACTGAATTTATGATAGTAGCATTAACAGGATAACGGTTCCTAAGCTAATTATCTTATTTCCAGACAAGAAAACAGTATTACAGAAGCATTCTAACTGCAGGACAGGGGTGCCCAGTGCTGGTCCTGGAGATCTACCACTCTGGAGAGTTCAGATCCAAAACCTGGTTCTAATATTAAGATGCCCCTGAAGGACTTCGCTCCAGGACCAGGGTTGAGCATCATTGCTCTAAGATAATCCCAGCTAATCTTCAGTTTTAACTTTGTTTGTACTGTTGCCTGTTCAGCTGACTAACTTTACTTTTTTGTTTGCTATTTCGATTAAGTGTTTACATTTCAGCTGTGCACAGATAGTTTATTTACTTGGCAACAGATATAGAAATTGACCTTGTAGTTTAGGTTTAGCTAACTTGATAAGGTGCTGCAAAATAATTGCTAAGTTTTAAAAAATGCTTCTGTAATACAATTTGTGAAAATTTATTTATTTATTTATTTTGAGCTTTCACATCTTTGGACTAAATAGGACATTTCTGTAACACAGCCCCTGGGTAAGATTTTTCACTAAACTGGGAAAATAGGTACAAGGAAGTAGATGAGAATTTTATGACTGATGTGAGAGTGTGAACAACAAAACCTGTGATATGATGCATAATTAAGCAATAAGGACAATTAAAGAATAAAGAGGTTACACTGGACTTGTTTGAGTTGTGGGAGAAATCTTTATTTGAATGAACACACTTCTTTCTCTCTTCATCCCATTTCTGTGTTTAATTTGGATATTTTCTCTTTCAGGATAATGCTATTTACAACCTGTTGCCAGACATTATCAGCCGATTGTCAGATCCAGAGAGAGGGATGAAAGAAGAGGATTTCAACACTATTATGAAGTGAGTTTTTTTAATATTTGGCATTTGTAGTGAGTACATCTGTAAACTCTACTTACTTAAATTGTTAAATTATCTCTCACAGGCAACTCTTCTCCTACATCACCAAAGAAAGACAGACAGAGAGTTTGGTGGAGAAGCTCTGTCAGCGTTTCAGAACTGCAAAGTGAGAAATTAAATTCACCACCTTGGTCACCACATTGTGTATGCATGTGTGACGCGTGTGTGTGTGTGTGTGTGTGTGTGTGTATGTATGTATGTGGGGTGTTTTTTTTACATTTTATCTTTAAGCTACTGAAACAAAATAATTGTGCTCACTCTCTCCCTGTTTCTGTCTCTGTGTCTATCAGGACAGAGCGTCAGTGGGCAGATTTGGCTGTGTCTCTGTCTCTGCTTTCCATGTGTGAGCGGGGCTTTAAGAAGCTGCAGGAGTGCTGGGATTGTTACAGTGACAAGCTTGCTGAAGATGCAGTGTACCAGCCTGTGCTCTCAATCATGGCCAAACTCCGCCGCAGAGCCAAGCCCCAGTTTAAGGTACTGTATGCAACGCACCCTACATTTCAGTCGGTCAGTTGCTAATTTCATGTCTTATTCAAGACGTGCCTCATGGAACCTAGGGAATAATTATTCACCTAAGATTTCCTTCATTAGAATATGTAGTAACCAGTTTTATTTATTTATTTATTTATTTATTTACTTACTTAGAAAATTACATTTTTAAAGGAAATAAAGGACACAAAAAGCTTTCAGACGTTTTCAAATATCCCAGTGCAATTCTGATTTTCCTAAAGCTTAGATTGTTCTTGTTTTAGCAATTCATTGCTCATCCATTGTTGTGCAGGCTCAGGTGGAGGAGTTTGAGAAGAAGCTGACAGCTGTGCACTCTAAAGGTCTGGAGAATGTTGAAAACGAGGAGCGAGAACAGCAGCTAGAGGAACAGACGCACAGCGAGAAAACACAGACACCTCTTCCCAAGAGCGCTCGCAGACCAACACGAGGTAACTCACTAATCTATGCTTTCTCTCATATGGTGTCTCTGCCTAATGCACATTCGCTCTTGTGCTCATAAAGACCCAGGTGCTTGCAGACATAAGGGAGAAACACATTTTCACATCAGCACCTGTGTTCACATAGACAACTAACAGTCTGTCTCTCTCCCCCACCATCTTAGGGCGTGGGAAGTCCAGAAAGGATGAAAGTGATTTAGTGACCCCTAAACGCTCCCGTGCTCGCCCTAAAAAAGTTATTACGTTCAGCAGTGACGAGGGAGAAGACGAAGAAGGTGAGACTGCACTCCTACCCTTTGACAGCTATTTTAGTCTTGAACAATTTAAGATGCAGCTTTTACTTCTGCAAATGTATTATTTGCTCAGAAGTTGATGATGATTACACAATCACTTCTTAATGGTTTCTGAGTCTGATCTAAAAATCTTGACCTCAGTTCTGGACTGTACGGAGCCCCAGATGGGATGGAGGAAAAAATAATTAATTTGAGTGAACGTTATGCAGTTCGTACGCACGTTTTCTTTTATTCATGATTTTCTTCATTTGTTCCCTCGTTTTCTTTTAATCATGTGCATGTTTTCTTCCCTTTGTTGGTATTTTTTTTTCCCCCCCCTTTCCTTTCGTTATCACAATTTTCTAATTTGTTCTCTTTTTCTTTTAATCTAGGTCATGTTTTATTTTTAACTGAACGCATGTTATGTGTGTGTGTTGTGTGTGTGTGTGTGCGCGCAAACAAAAGAAATGTACTAGACACAGGCCGCTAACAGCTCCCTGACATTGTCTGACCGGTTTTGATGCGTTAGATTGATGAGATAATGAAGAGAGATGCTCATTAGGTTTGATTTTGGGGGGTCTTTACAGCAAATGCTCCTGCTTCAAGCTGCGGTGTGAACTGCAAAACGTTTGCTCAAACGATTTTTTTTCTTCCCTCCCCCTCCCCCTTAACCTCCGTCCCCACCGGGGCTCCAGATGTCTGTCATGACTTCTACATTAAAAATCTGTTTTCTAGTGTTAGTTTTATAAACTGATAGTCTGTAGTCTTCACAGACACTTAAGCATTGGTTTGTTGATGCTTTTGTCCCCCTTTTAAAACTGTTTTTATGAAGCCAGTGATTATTATTATTTTTATTATTTTATTTTTTTAAAACATATATTGCTCTGGGGTAGATTTGAGGAAAATTTTGCAAATTTACAACCATGGGTTCTCAAGGTTACAGAATTTTCTCACTGTGACTTTAATTTTCTCATTGTGAAGTTTAGACTGCATTTGGTATTAGCTAGTCTGTAACAGATGTATTTATTAGTTATTTTATAGATAAACAGCAAATTAAAGTAATTTCTAAAGTTACTATGAACTATGGGTGACAATCCCTGCCTCATAACACCTGATCCAGCTCATAAAGGGCTTGAAAATTGCATGATGAGCTGGATCAGGTGGGGTTCAGAGTAGTTGAAGCTGTGTAGGGCAGGACCAAAGTTAAACCCATTGTCTGTAATTGAGACAATAGCACTGAGAGGTTGAGCTTAAGCCCAGCATTGCTATAGCCATCCTTGGCCAGGAGTCCAGAAAAGCATAATTGGGGGTGGGTAGGATGACCCTCCCTCTCCCCCATTACTCTAGCAATTGCAGGCATCTGTTAACTGCGTAACAGAATTGGCAGTTATTGTTCTCTGTGCGTGTTGAGCTATACAATGATGTTACGTTAGCAGAAGTTTAAAAAGATGCTGTGACTAGTTTCATATGTTTGCCTTTACCCTTCCAGCTTGGGACATTGTAGAATTCAACAGACCTAAGTTGGGAGGAAAAAAATGGGGTAAAAAAAATTCCCCTAGTTGTGTTTTTGTAGCATTCATGAAAATAGCCTCAAATTTCAGTACAACTTTTGTTGTTGGTGTTTGTTGTTATTGTGTTGTTTTCCTTTTTTTTTCTAAAATCAGGAACAGAGGGGTGAAGGAAACAGGTCAAATGTTTGTTTAGAAGTTCTCCAAATTTGCTCCAAAACACTAAGCAAGCATGTCAGTTGGAGGCAGCCATGTTTGAATTTTGCATTCACTACTAGTAATGCTGTGATGCAGCTCAGAGCCTGGACTGCTGGCGTATGTAGTTTTAGTGACCTTAAGTCAGATGTAAGCATAAGTAGAGTGCTTTAAACAATCTGAGGGTTAAAGCGGTGATTATTAATTATTTTGATTTGGTTTCATTCTCTTGTTGGCTTTCTTCTTTCCAGATGCTGTCATGACAGAGAATGAAACGCCAAAAGTGACTACGCCCATCTCCCGAACCCGACGCACTCGTCTTCGCCACTGACCCCTCCACTGTTCGCTACCCTTGTTCCTGTTTTTATCCTTCCATTTTAGTTTCTTTCACTGTCAGTGGTCATTTATTTTTCCTATATTTCTGCTTTTATTAAATATTTCCTTTTATTTTTGTCTGATTTATCAAAAAGAATTAAGTTTTAAGTTGTCTTAAGTTGTATAGAGACAGCACTTTTGTAACTTCTCTACACCAAGCTAATTCATGTTTTTATTAAATTTGGTCTTTTTGACCATTAAAACAGTTTGGTTTAGTTGTCATGATGTATAAGCAAGCTGTTTAAAATACATAAAAATAAGATTTCATGCTCTGCGGCTTCCCTTGGTTAAGTTAAAGTGTGCAAGATCTTACAGTGAAGTTACAGTGGTGAGTCATCATTGGCCTTTCAGTCTAGTCCAGGGCTTAGTCCTAGACTTTATCCATTTTCTGCCATGGGCCTTGGCGGGGCCCTCAACAACAAGACGGGGCCTGAGATAGCTCAAAGATGGAACAATCCACTCCATATGCAAAAATTATATAAAGACTGATGCATGTTAATGACCTCTGTTCTGATTGGTTCCCTCTTATTCAAAAAGAACTCCAGTCTGAAACACTCCTTATAAGTTCAACATGAATGAGTAGTGCCACACTGCTGTAGACTGAATAGGTGGAGCTAACCTGCTGTGGGTGAATGTACAGTATGTAAATAGGTGGGTTTTCATGACGTCACAAAAACAATGAATTCAAAACGGGTTGTTTTTGCAGCATAGTTTCCATGTATGGACTGTATGGACTGGTTTTCAATCGTTAGCAATGTTTATATACCACATCAAACTCTTCCAAAGTGAGGAAAGTTCAACGTCTCCTACCAAAAACGTGCAGGACTATGACTGCAGAAGATATTACACATTAAATCAGAATGAATAACTTTTTTCAGTGCTGCTCAAAGTGCACATTAACAAACGTGCTTTTTATTGATGATATTTTTCAGGTCTGCATTTTTTTTCCCCACTCTCTTTTGCCTGGGGGCCTCATCAGACTTTGATCCTCCCAGCTTTTGCCCCTTAAAAGTTATCACATTTCTATTCACTGCTCTTTAAGGAAAGTCCATGGGGTACAGCTTTTCCTGAAAGTTTTTCAATACAAAGAGGCTTTATATATGTCCCCTAAAGGGCTCAGTAAGTGATAGCTCAGAATATGAACAGCTGTGGGCCGTTGCCGCGAGCCGCAGCTGAACTTTGCTCGTTGCTGTGAGGTGGGAGGGCTGACAGCTCAAACAGCCACGACTGAAGGAAAAAAAACGCGAGAAGAATGAGAGAAGAGATTAGTGGACTGATAAACTCCATGTGAGTAATGTTTCTGAGGGACTGGAGAACGACAAAGCAGAGCAAGTCCTCAAACAACGTCCTGTTTCTGACTAAAATGACATACATTTTTATATAACGGTTCTTTGAACGTGCACGTTAGAAAATGCGTTTGTTTACATTTCGTTGCTCCGTAAATTTCACGACAACCGACTACAAGGCGAGCGCGTGGAGACGAACACGGGGGCTACCAGCGGTCAGATACAAAACATCAGCCCCCAAAAACTTCACCGACTACGAGAGTCTGAAACAGACATACAAGCCTCGAGTTCCTGCCCAGTTTAACTTCGCCAAAGACGTCCTCGACGTTTGGGAGACTAAAGAAAAGGTACTAAGGCGCTGCTGCCATTGCTGAGGTATCTGGGAGAGGGAGGAAGGGAGAGAAACAGACCTAAACCAATTTTGACAGCACATACAAAACAACATTGCAGCTAACTGGTCATTTCTTAGGTTACTTTTAACCCAAAGACCATTAAAGAGCTGCAGCACATTCAGAATGCTGCTGCTAGAGTTTTACCACTGAATGCTTTAGGCCCAGAATACATCTCTGATATGTTTAAAGAATGTAAACCGAGTTGGGATTCATGGACTCGGGTCAGCTAGTCAAGCCCAGAGTCCAAACTAAACATGGTGAAGCAGCATTTAGCATTTTTGCTGCATACAACTGGAACAAAAAGGGACAGCATATTTTAGATGTGTCCCAAATGTCGAAATTTTTAAATCAAGATTAAAAACATTTCTCTTTTCATTCGCCTATGATTGAGCTCTATTACTTGCACTCTAATCTTACTGCACTTTACCCTTGATAAGCTAATTTTAATAACACTTATTCCCGTTTGTTTTAACTCACACTGAATTACCTTTGTGTCTAATATGTACTGTATAAATAAAGCTGCCTTGCCAAGATCATCAGTGCTGAAGTTCTGCAGAGCAGCTGTGTTCATTCTGTTGTACAGATCAGGTCATGCAGGGCTTTAGTGATTTGAAACTGTGAAGACTTTACTTTGGAGCCACATACATATTTAAACTGTATTATTAATAAATATTAAGTTGGTTGTGGTGAGAAACCAGTTTGCACAGTGCATAGCTGGAGGAGAAACAACAAGAGAAAACTCAGAGCTGTTAGTAATACAGGTAGCTCATTTATTTCAGGAAGCTGAATCAGGTATGTTTATCACACTAAATTACTCATTTAGCACCTTGAACTCGGTGTATGGTATCAGTACACATTGGTATCATATTAGGTGATTACAATTTCAGTTTATTTCCTTGTTGAGTTGAAACTCTTGTTATAGAAACCAGTGGGCAGGTGCTTCAGTCAATGAGTTTTCAGTTCTTTTACTATACAGAGAATACATCAGAATTATTGTCTGTGTTAACCAACCTTATACCACAGATGCATCAGATAGAGATAAGGTTTGGGGAAAACACTGGAGTATTCCATTCTGTCTTCATCTTGCCTTCATGGGTGGTGTTACTTTTGTAAATAAACCCTTTGCAAATACACTTGAAAATGAACTGAAAATCAGAAGTACTAATGTAGAGTACACTCTTTAAAAAGATGGTTCTTCAAGGATTCTGTAGTAAAGACAGTGGTTGTATGTATAACCATGAACACTCAAAGAACCATTTGCATGCTTAAGGGTTCTTCGCATCATGATATGGCTTCTTTGAGTGTTCATGGTTCTTTATAAAACCATTGTCTTTTCAAGGGTTCTTTAGTAGATCCATCTTTTTTAAGAGTGCGTGATAATTGCAGTTATGTTTAGTGTTATTAAACATGTTTTCTAATACTGTTTCAATCTAAATAAGTTTACTATTTGTTGTTCTGTGAAATTGTAGGCAAATGAAAAGTCCTCTCTTCCTGCTTTCTGGTGGGTGAATGATGATGGTAGAGAGATCAGGTGGAGTTTTGAAGAGCTGGGGTTTCACTCTAGAAAGCTTGCTAATGTTCTGAGTGAAGTATGCGGTTTGGCGAGAGGGGACCGGGTCTTCTTGGTGCTCCCCCGAGTTCTGGAGTGGTGGCTGGTCAACATCGCCTGTCTCAGAACAGGTAAACACACTTCTGGCCAGTGGGAATTTCACAAAGCAGGATTTTTCATTTAGCTAGATAAATTGAGCCAAAAGTAAACTGTAAAAGATTTTTGCTTTGGACAGTCTTCTCTTTGGACCTAAGTTATCCAGCTAACTGAGAAATTCTGCCACATTTAATGAAAGTAGTTTTAAGTGCTCAAACTTTATTGCCATGGCTGGATGGTGGGGCATAGCTATGATTTCCGTTAAAAACAAGATCACCTACATGCAGAGGCACATCTGTGGAATCTTTTTTTTTCTTTGAGGGAATAAAATGAAAGTAGATATGTGAAAAGGTGGATTGCAGTGCTTACTTGCCTTACATATGGTGCTTGTAGCCGGTCAAACTGGCTCTTCTCAAATCCGGGTGTCAAATCTAGCAGCGGTTCTCCAACCGGTCCACGTTTTTTGCTCTATCCCTGTGTGTTGCAAGTTAGATTAGAGCAAAAATCTGGACCAACTGGGCAACACTGAGGACTGCTGGGGAACTACTGTTTAAAAAGGCCCATATCCTACATCTTTCTTGGATTTATTTTCCCTCTATGGTCCACTAATGATGTTTGTGCAGTATTTTGTAACCAAGTCCCAAAAGCAATCATAAAAAACAATGATTTTTACATGACTATTTTCCAACCTCTCTTTACCCCTTAGAATTAAACATGCAGTTTTTGTTACTGTGCCTTTAAGACTGATACACTAACCTTTGTTGTGGTTGGGTGCCCTGTATTATACGTCATTCAAAAAGCAGCCCGAGTTGAAACACACTTTATAATGTCAGTGTGATCAGATGTAGCTGAACCGCTTCAGGTGGATGGGCGTATATTTGCTGTTTTTTGTCACATCACAAAAACAGTGAATTCAAAGTGGGCTGTTTTGCAGCTTAGTTCCCATATATGGACTGGATAAGGAATAGTATGTTTTGAAACTTGCAAAACAACACAAACTAGCAGTGTTTGCATACTACATCAAACTCTTATTGAAAAAAAAGTGTGAGAAATTTGGTTTTCTGTGACATGGGCCCTTTAATGGAATTGGCCCATCTCTTACTGTTGCGATTATAGTGTATAGTATATAAAATTTGTTTCTTGCAAAAGAATATTCTTAGCTGAATTTAAGACCAGCCTTAGACTGTAAAAGTACTTGTATCATGATCTCCAATCTCTGCATGAACTCCTAACTGTTCTAATCTGTTGTAATTGTGCCTTACACTCATATTTAACTCCTTACCTTAATTTTCTATTATCTTTTAGCGGTAGTCACTGATTTATCTCATTTTTCTCTTCTGTATGATCTGAGTTCCTCTGTTAAACTCAAACATGTACTACTTGCATCATTGTGCCACCTCAGATGCTCTCTCTTGCCACATTCGCCAGCTTTTTCTTGCCACTGTCACTCTCAGTGATGCTCATTAGAGGTCTGGACTTGGATTTCTATAAAGTTGCTTTCAGAGGCGCTCTACAAGAAAGAATTAAATTCTTTCAGTTGAGGTATATCACTGACTCTGCAGTCTACTATGAGATGAGGTGTAACTCTCTATCGGGAAATCATAGCCTAAATGTTTCGTTGCAGTCATTTCATTGCAGCCATTACAGTTTATTGCATCAGTCATAAATTGGAAATGATGAAATCTGAGATGAAAATTAGCTCCATCATATTCTAGAGATACTTCACCTCAAACCCTGTGCCTTGAACTTGCTCAAAAAAGCTGCTTAAAAATGTGGCAGTGAATATCAATTATAAATTGAGTTTCAGCTCTTCAAGTAATTATCTGAAGTGAAGTTGAAGTGCGTGCATTGAAAAGGATCTTGCCCCAGTTCTGGAACACTCATTTTCCTTTTGACTCTCTCTCTCTTACTCCCACAGGTACAGTTCTGATCCCTGGAACCACCCAGCTTACAGCTAGAGATATCCTGCACCGTCTGCAGGTCTCTGGGGCCAAGTGTGTGATCACAGATGAGAGTATGGCTCCAATGTTAGAGGCTGTGACTCCACAGTGTGCTGCACTCACCTCTAAACTCCTGCTGTCCAGTAGGAGGCGTTCAGGATGGGCCGACATTACAGCCCTTATGGGGTGAGGGTTTGTCCCCTTAATTCTAGTTATAAAGTACACGGTATGGCCAAAAGTATATGGACACCTGAGCTTGTTGGACATCCTATTCCAAAATCTTGGGCATTAATATGGAGTTGGCCCCTCTTTTTGGCTGTAATAGCGTCCGCTCTTCTGGGAAGGCTTTCTGCAAGATTTTGGAGTGTGTCTGTGGGAATTTTTACCCATTCAGTCAAAAGAGCATTTGTGAAGTCAGTTACTGGCGCTGAAAAAGAATGCTTGGCTTGCAATCAGTGTTCCAGTTGATCCCAAAGGTGTTTATTGGGATTAAGGTCAGAACTCTGTGCAGGCCACTGGAGGTCCTCCACAGAGGACTAACTCGTCAGACTATGTCTTTATGGACATCACTTTATGCACAGGGCACAGTCATGCTGGAACAGGAAAAGGCCTTCTGCAAACTGTTGCCACAAAGTTGGAAAGCATATAATTGTCCAAAAAGTCTTTGTATGCTGTAGTATTAACATTACCCTTCACTGGATCTAAGGGTCCTACCCAAACCCTGAAAAACAATCCCAGACCATTATCCTTCCTCCACCAAACTTTACTGTTGGCACTATGCATTCCGGTAAGTAGCTTTTTCCTGCATCTGCCAAACCCAGATTTGTCAGTCAGACTGCCAGATGTGCGATTCATGACTCCAGAGAACATGTTTCCACTGCTCCAGAGTCAATTGGTGGCATGCATTACGCCACATTTAAAGTCACTGAGCTCTTCAGTTTGACCCATTCTACTGACACTGTTTGTCTAAGAGGTGTCCACATATTTTGACCATATAGTATATATAAATGTTTGCTACCGTAAAAATAATTTTTCATTGTTGCTTGACCATTTCCACACTTAAAATGAAACGGGCTGTTTTATTACTGTGCCTTTAAGACTGATATGTAAATGGGATGGATGTTCTGATTTTCATTGTTCATGCCAATTCATGGCAGTGGGCATTTCTTCCAACTGATAATGGATAAAAACAGAAAAACGCTCTGTGTGTATGCTTAATTGAGACACCAGTATTGATTCTGAACAAATCGGGCATCCCATGCAGGATATCTGCTGACACTTTATGGGAGGAAGTCTGGCCCGTTGCATCACAAGGAAGAGCATTAGAGAAACAGGGTACAACTGGATTTAACCCTCGTTCTGAGACCTGTATCAGAAATTATCAAAATAGAACTGGATTCCCTCTGTTTTTTTACAAAGTGAGGTTATTTTCCACTGTGATCTCTACTGTGAAATTCTTGAGAACACAGTGACATTTACTTTGATTGTATGCAGATAACCTACACATGAGGTGATGATTTGTGAATGTGTAGTTTCCAAAAAGTGTGTGTATCCTCCTCTTGTGCAGGAGCGCCTCTGCTGACCATGTTTGTGTGGACACTAGGAGTGATGAGCCCATGACCATCTTCTTCACCAGTGGTACCACTGGGTCACCCAAAATGACCCTTCACAGCCACTGTAGCTACGGCCTGGGGCTTACTGTCAATGGCAGGTGTGTTTATGTTCATATATTTTCAGTAGAGAAATGTCCTTTGTTAAAATACTAGAGACCAACAGTGGTAACCTGCTTTTTACAAAAGCTACATGTTTCATTTGTTTGTACTGAAAGGGCAAATCATTTCTTTTATTGTCCAAAAGTAAGTAAGTATGTAGAGTATAATCATTTGAATCAGGTGGGTCCATGGGGGACTGGAGTCTGAGACTACTGATATAGAACGTGCAGACACAGAAACTGTGTAATGCATAAATAGGCTGTGTTTATTTATTTATTTATTTATTTGTAACTTGCAAACAGAGTCAGTTTGAGTCATGTAAATTGATTGTTTTAGGAAGTCTGTGTATGTACAGTATAATTAATTAGTGTATGTGTTTGTGTAGGTACTGGTTAGACCTCACTGATGGCGATGTGTTTTGGAATACCTCGGACACAGGCTGGGCTAAGTCTGCTTGGAGCAGTGTGTTTGCTCCTTGGACGCAGGGAACATGTGTGTTTGCACACCATATGCCACGCTTCAACACACACACTGTCCTCAAGGTGCAATTCTAAAAGATCTTGTTATTATAAGCAACACAGCAGCATGTTTAATTAATCTGTGTCAATGTGAACCAAACCAGCTTTTGACTATGCTATCCACAAAGTTCTGTCAGTTCACCAACTAAGGCATTTCTGTAGAAGAAATCTCATTAGAATGAATCCCTGAAACCATTTTCACTTTGCCATTCTTCTTTAGACTCTCTCCAGCTATCCCATCAGCACCTTCTGCACAGCTCCGACAGCCTATCGGATGTTGGTACAGGAGGATCCGTCCAGGTGATGTATCAGCAAACTGACATTCAGTTAATTTCAGTACAGTTCAGTTTTCTTATATACACAGGTGGCACTGAGTATTTGTTTCAGAATTTGATGAGAAACATTAAAGAACTAGCAACAATACAGTGTAAAATACACAATAAAAGTATGGTGCAGATTAGGGTAGAAATAGCAAAGAGATAGCAGCATCTTGAGCTTACTATGTGTGTACCAGGTTTCATTTTCAGGCTCTGGAGCACTGTCTGTCTGCAGGAGAGCCTATTAACCCTGAGGTGATGAGTAAATGGAGGGAGCTCACAGGCCTGGACATCTATGAGGGATACGGGCAGACTGAGACTGTGAGTAAAGAAGGAATGCTTTTCACATTTGCTGCTCAAAAGTTTCAATTACATTCAGCCTCAGAGATCTATGGTTATTATTGTTTTTGGTATACAGTCAATTTACCTTATAGCACACAAGTACAAGTACAACACAAGTTACATCATGAATTAGATTTCCATTTCATTCACATTCTATATCGGCAAGTTCAAACATGCACTTTTCTGACTTCTTTCCATTTGTTTTGTTTTTAAACAAGGAGGTTTTGATGCAGTTATTAAATGTCTTAACAGTATTAATTTAGGAAGGATTTAGAACTAAAATATGATGCCAGTGATGATTCACCACTGAAAATCCTTTTCAGTCTAGGCTTATGCCTGATCTGGGTCTGGGAACCTGGTCCATAATCTAACATACTTAATTGGTATGGGCCTTAAATTCTGAATTATTCAATTTGGTCATATTTACATTTCAAGCTATAATATTCAATTCAGGTTTGTTTTCTTCCCTCATTAGATTTTTCTACTGGGCAGTGTGGTACAGTGCGGTGCATTAACTAACTTGAGTCCAGAGCTATTATGCAACTTTCTTATTATACAGCCTGTGCTTGTGAAAGTAGACTGAGTTTCCTAGAGCAACGATTCCCAACCCTGGTCCTGGAGGACCCCCTGCCTTGCACATTTTTGTGTTTTCTTGCCAAAACACACGCACTTCAACTCACGAGGGGCTGGTTAATTAGCAGCTTAGTTGGATCAGGTGAGTTGGAAGCAGAGAAAACACTAAAATGTGCAGGGCAGGTAGTCCTCCAAGACCAGGGTTGAGAACACTGTTCTAGAGGTTGTGTGGTGGTGACACAATTTCACATACAACACTGTCAACAGTACACTCTTTAAAATAGGTGCCAAAAAGGGTTCTCTGCTCAATGGCATACACTTCTAGTTCTTTACAGAACCACTTTGGAAATGAGATGTGTGAGTGTGAAGAACACTTTTTAAGTTTAAGAAACCTCCACATAATGTAAACCTTCAAAAGGGTCTTCACACACTAGAAGGAGGGCCCTCCTACCCACCCAGAGTGAGGGCACCGTGCTCTGCTGGTCACCGATGGCTATGGCATTGCCAGGGATCATCATCCTGACTCCGTCACTCCGGAGTCCAATCTGCTTTATTCTGACAAAAATCATTTTTGTTGGATTATATGAATACTCTAATGCATCAGAACAATGATCTAGAACTGGACATATTGATTCTTTGCTAGGTTTTGATTGCTGGCACTTTCAAAGGCATGGAGATTAGACCCGGTTCCTTTGGCAAGGCATCTCCAGCATATGACGTGCAGGTAAACAATCACTGAGAGACAGAAATGTTGTGTGGAAGTGTCATTGTTTTAAATCCGTTCATACCGTTGATCAGATCAGATATGTATTCAAAACAATAGAAAAGAAATGTTGTATTTGATATATAATTGTGCTTGTGGTGATTTTTGCTGTGGCTGCAGGTGGTGGATGAAGAGGGGCATGTTGTTCCTCGAGGAACAGAAGGAAATCTGGCTATCAGAGTGAAACCACACAAACCTTTCTCCCTATTCACTGAATACACGGTGTGTACTTTCTTTTCTGTCTTAAATGAGCAATGGCTAAAGTAGAATGCGTACTATTTATTATTGAAAATCTTTACTGGTATTCTTACAGTTTGTTACATTTCTTTTATGGTTTATTTTGTTATTTTTGTTGCTTCACAGTTTATACAATTTATCTAATCAAAGCTGCACTATGTACGTATATGTATGTATGTATGTATGTATGTATTTATAAAAAAATGCTAAAACATGGTGTGCGTTCACTGCTGTGAATTGCCTTGTAAAGCCTGAAATAAATAATTTAAAAGTCAGAATTCGTGGAACTTTGATATGATATGATGTCAGTGGTTGATAATTCACTCACATCCTTGGAAGACATGTCCTTCACCAAGAGTTCTCTTAGAATAATCTTTCAACACGCTCGCAAACATCTGATTCATCCGCTCAGCGAAGGTGGCCGAAGCACAACCGATGTTACAAAAACTTTTTCCACAAATTGCATGAAAATACACATTGCCACCAGAAAGGTCTCCAAATCCCCAAAACTTACATAGTGTAGATTTATTAAGCAACTCAAATGAGCTAAAGTAATCATTTTCTGCATGCAGTGTGTGAGTGAACTCAATTAATTGGATTTTACACTGTACATGTTCATAACTTTGCAAAAAATTAGGGCTTGGCATTTGTCCTGGGTTGAAAATTAGACATTTTACAAGAAAAATCCTTAAATGATGAAAATGTTTCTGGGACTGGGATTATCAAATGTTCCATTTTCATTTTCTCAATGCTCACCTGCCAATAACATGTCCAGACTGATTGAGTAAAGCACTTACATTCTGTAGTTTAGCAGAACAAATCTGCTTGTCTTGATGCATGCGTAGTGCTTATGGTCATCTCTACATGTGTGGTCCGTTTTGACATTTCTGGTTGTTTCTGCAGGAGGAGCCAGAGAAAACAGCAGAGTGTTACCATGGTGATTTCTACCTGACAGGTGACAGAGGTGTAATGGACCAGGATGGATACCTGTGGTTTGTTGGCAGAGCTGATGATGTCATACTATCTGCAGGGTGAGGAAGATGTGTAAGGATGGTGATGATCATGATGATCACAAAGACTTTTATAGGGTTCTGTGTGTGCTGCTTCTTATTTCTCCTTTCAGGATTTTCATGTGGTATCAACTTAATATAATAGAATTAAAAAGTGGTATAGAAAAAAGAAGACTTCAATTTTAGGATGCTGAATAATTATATACACTGAACCTGTCATAAAATGTAATACAATAGAGCTTAATTCACAATATTTAAGAGTGTGCTCAATATTTAAAGGTGTGCTTTATTAGATTAGATACTGAGTCACAATATCACTAATGTTTACAAGTCCACTCAGTGTTTTTAGCTTTGTTTGGAGACACTGTTAAGTTGTTTAAAATTAGAGCACATCTCTTGAGATCCCTAATCAGTGAATTGTGTTTCATGTCCTCCTAGTTTTTGACTGTCTGGTTATTTCAGATACCGAATCGGTCCATTTGAGGTGGAGAATGCTCTAATAGAGCATGAGGCTGTGGCTGAGTCGGCAGTGGTTAGCAGTCCTGATCAAGTCAGAGGAGAGGTAATGTGCTCCTAAAAGGAATAGCCTCTGGTCAGCGCAGCACTAATTATCTGTTTCTCATACAGGCACTGATGATGACTCAAATGAGATTGGATGAGCAATTGAGTGGACTTTTATTAAACCATAGAGAAAAGGTGTTCAAAAGGCTAAATGTGTACTAGGCTATGATTCATTTGTCAGCAGATTAAGTGTCTACTGGTTGGAAGCGGTCTCTTACATGCTGGCAAACTGCTCTCTATAACCCATAAAATTTGATGTCATTTTAACAAGCCATTTTGAGTCATTTTTTTTATTTTGATCTTATGAAATGTTACTTTGTGACATAACAGACATACTGTCTTTGCAAGACTGCTAAATACTTTTTTCTTTTTTTAAACTTCGTGAATAATTCTGTTTATTGGAATTTTGGTAAGCAATTAAGTAAGAGAACAAACTGACAACTGTATGTAGATAATTGTTGAGATAAAAAAACCCTTTATACCTTAAATCCATTCAGCCCACTCATCTCATGCATCCCCCCATCCCACATATTCCACAGAGGAGGGTTAAATAATGCATAAAAATGCATAAAAAAAGAGGAAGAGAGTAAATTGGACATAGACTACAGAGAGGGGGAGCACTTCAATTACAAAATCCCTGAGCAGTCAAAGTTTTGAAGATCAGGAAAGAAATGATCCCAGATGTGCATATTGTGCCTTTCCTTTAAAAGCATGCTTTCATTGTTCTGAATGTAGGAAATAAATATAACATACTAGTATGGACTGTTTTGGACTGTCAAGAATTCATGTATTTGAACCAGTTTGTCAAAAACTGCTATTGGGTAAAAAAAAAAACATGCTTTTGTGACACATAGTTTTAGGAAATGTGTCAAACTACACTAAATGGACAGAAGTATTGGGACACCTACACATCACACCTACAGGAGCTTTTAATGACATCCCATTCTAAATCCATAGGCATTAATATGGAGTTGGTCCTCCTTTGCAGCTAAAACAATTTCCACTCTGGGAAGGCTTTCTGATTTTGGAGTGTGTTTGTGTTCCCACAAAGTTAGAAGCACAGAAATTGTCCAAAATGTCTTGGTATGCTGAAGCATTAAGACTTTCCTTCACTGGAACTAAGGGGCCTAGGCCAAGGAACTAAGGGGCCTAGGTCAGGTAGGTAATTTGGCGTTTGCCAAGTCCAGACTCATCCAACAGACTGCCAGATGGAGAAGCGTGACTCGTCACTCCACAGAATATGTTTCTACTGCTCCAGAGTCCAGTGGCAGCGTGCTTTACAACACTCCCTCTGACGCTTTGCATTGTGCATTTTGATCTGAAACACCTGAACTCAATAATTAGTAGGGATGTCCCAGTACTTTTGTCCATGTAGTGTATCAATGACAAACACATGGCAGAATAGTCATGATATAAATAGAACTTTAATGTGATTGAATCTTAGCATCAGTTTTTTTGAGCAGTCTGTAAGTATAATCTGAAAAAGGTGTAAGTGTACGGCCAACTACAAGATTTTTAAAATCCTAACTGATGTTGAAAACATGACACTCCACACATAATCACAGATTCCACTGTTTTGTCTTTTGCTTTCAGTCATCACTCCCGTACACTACAAGATTTCTCCAGAACAGCACTCACAAATTATGCTCACAAGTCAGAGTCCCGATCAATGGCCCTGTCACTCTCACGAAGAAACATTACTTCAGATCAAAACAAACATGGTAGATGACAGAAAGGAACAGATTACAGATAGTTGTTTGTAAATTTAGCAGCGGAAAAGTAAAAGAAAATTCTTTTGCTTTCTTGCATAAAATTAAATTTGTATTTACATTCATCTGGGCCCTCCATTCAGCTCAGTTCTCATTGACTACAGAAATACAGGATGTTGAGTCATAAATGTTGAACATGTTTAATATTGTGAGTAGATTTGGGGGTGGGAGGGTAAAGATTGGATTATACACACCACACGCCACAGGATAATATAGAACGATATTTGTTAAGACCTTCCTGAAATCAGTTTGTCAGTAGGGGTGAATCAGCCCCATCTTTGGTCAGATTATCCCCTATTGTGGGCCAGGCATTAGGTAGGCAGTTGAGGACTTGTTATGCTGCCAGTGTTCCTGTTGAGGTCTAAGTCTAGATATATCTCTGTATTTTCAGTCAAAATCTTTGTGCTATCTATTGCAGTCAAAATAAACTCTTGGAACATGTAACATGTAGGTGTGGAAATATGACAAGCAAATAGTAAGAGATTCAAGTCCATATAGCAGTTGCACTATGATTGTGCTTTAGTCTGAGTGAATGGAGTTCTGATGAGATTGGAGAGAGGATATTGGGGCAATGTTAATGTGTTCTGGATGAGATATATAGAATGTGCATTTTATTTCTCTGTCTATATCTCTTTGTCTCTGTCTCTCAGGTTGTGAAGGCGTTTGTGGTGCTTGCTCCGGAGTACAAATCCAGGGACCAGAATGAGCTAATTAGAGAACTGCAGACACATGTTAAGAATGTCACAGCTCCATATAAATACCCCCGCAAGGTACCTGCATTTACAAGTTACGACTTTTAAGTACGCCCCCATAGCACAAGGTACCTTCATATTTCACAAGTGCCTCACTGGGATTTGGCAGTATAAATGTATATTTACTCACAGCTCTGACTAACTGTGTACATAGAGTACTGTGAGGAAATTAGAATTATTTAGAAATTAAATGCAACAAGGTAAGTATAAGTCATTGTATGTACTGTTTTGTATGTAACATTAAAAAAAGCCAGGCAATTTATTTATAGCTGCTTAAACTGAAAAGTGTAACATTTAATGTTGCCATGGTGTTTTCAAATGTGACGTATTTATTCTAACAGATATTTAAATATGTCATCAATTCAAAAGTGCCTATTAAATCTGGAACCCTTGCTAAGCAGTGTCGATAAATGAGAGTGCTCTATAAATACCCTCACAAAGTATCCTCACCTTAGAAATGCCCTTGCAAGGCACCTCTGCCTCTTATGCCCACACTAGTTTCTAGTCCAAGGTAATATCAAGGGTGTCCTGATCAGAAGAACTCAGATCAGAGCTGATCCAAGTGTATTTTATATAGTGACTTGGAGCCTAAAATCATCTTACTGGTCAATATAGAAAGTCATTAAATAAAGCGTAAAATGGTCAAAATGTTGAGAAAGTATGTCCAAAAACAACCTATCAGTTCAGATTGTTACACTATGCACATCCTCAAAATGCTTTTATGTACTGGGTTTAAAGTAATTGGCAGGCTAGCATATCTTGCCTAAAATGGATTGGTTTTACCAAAATCCTTATAGGAAAGTCTGTCCACTTGGCAGCCACGTTGTCACCAACCCTGGGCAGTTATTTACAGTCATACAAGACTAGACTCCTATCTCTTTGAATGGGAAGAGATCCTGTAAACTGAAAACTGAAAGTCATGTACATGCACATCTCCACAAAGAAGAGGGCTTTCTTGCTTGTGGCTTTACCAGCAAGCTGATTGGCTCATTTTACTGAAGGGTGGGACTTTCCCCATAAACTGACAGCATGTTCAGCATCATGAGCTTTCTCATTCATTTATCAAGCAGTGAACTGTCTCCTCCTCCTTTATAATGTCTCTGGTTTTACTAACTTTAATGTACCTTCTGTATCTACTGTATAGTTATATTATCTATGAAAATAGAAATATTGTCTCTAGACTCAGTATAGGAAGATCAGGATCCGGGCCAAAGGAATCCCACTGGTACATCTCTAGACAACATTTTCAAAGAGTAAAAAGAACAGATTACATTTTTTGAAGAATGTCTTTATTGTACATTTGGTCACTGAAATTTCTGTTTTCTCATAGATTGAGTTTGTGGACCAGCTGCCCAAAACAGTGAGCGGTAAAATCCGGAGAGTGGAGTTAAGAAAGAAGGAATGGGAGCAGTCATAACCAAGCTTACCAGACATACGCCTCAGCATCTGTTACACTAGTGGTTCCTAATCATAAAGGACTTGAGATTTAGTTGATTATTTGAATCAGGTGTGTTGGAGGTGGTGAAACACAAAAAGGTCCAGACTGTGAGATCAATTTTAACATACTGTGACAATGTTGATTTCTGGTTGGCTTAGCTAAATGTTTACAATCACAGAGAATCATGTGTAGAATCAACCAAAGCTTGTATTTTTCTCTGACATGTGTGAAAATATGAGCAGAAACACTCATTCTGTGGAGGAGTGCTAGCATAAATGCTAATGATCAGAATTAGCCTAACTGGCTTATGTCAATTCTTTACGGATAAATAATCATAAAAATAGCAATATACACATCAGCATACTATTCTGTGTTAGATTTTGGAGCACTTATTGGTGATGTAATAGTGCTTGGCGACTGTCTTCACCTGGTAAGAAAGATGGAGGAAAACACCCTCAAATACAATTAGGTTATGTTTATTATCCATCTTGAGTAGGTCCCAAAAACCTTAAAACTGGACTGATGGCCAATGAAAAACACAGTTTTCTGGTGCCAAAGGCTCTGGCACTTTGTGTGGTAGAAAATGCCCTTTGCATAAGGCCACAAGAATATAGCATATCTCTGACGCAGACTGACTGAGTATGCCTGTTCTAGCTGGGGACCTTCTGGGCCAAAGTGCTGTGGAGAGCCTTTAACATCATCTAACGCTCTGAATTCAGTTCATGAAGGTCTTGCTAATTAGCTGATGAGCTGAATCAGGTGTGTATAATGAGGCAATATGCTGAAGTCTGCAGTGTTTTGGCCTGTGAGAAATGGAGCCTGACACACTTGAGCTAGAGTCTCATCTTCAAACCCAGCACTGACTTATTAGACAATCATTTGCGCTTTGGTTTCAAGGTTGGGTTTAAACTCAGAAAACACAATAGAATTCCTGTTTCTAGATTTCTCCAACCTTATTAACTCTTGTGATGAGAAGTTTTACAAAACAAACAGCAAACCAGAGGTAGTGAACTGTAATACACATATTTGCCTGTAGAGGGAGACACATTCACAACTGTTGAGCACCTTTCTGATCAAAAGCATATTTTAAGATCTAATATAGACATTAAAACTGTCCTTTCTTGATGTGGGTCTATTAATTTTAAGTGCATAACTATATAAGCTGTATAGCTGTATAAAATAGGACTGTCTTGATTACCTAGTTAACCTCAGATGTTTGAATAAAGAAATGATCAAAAATAGATAATTTAAAAATCTCAGTAAATTGGCAGTGATTTGTTGGTAATTTGCATGATGATAATGCACATTTTAAATTCCCCTACTGGTCTCTTTTAAAGTAAGAAACACAGCCTGATGGACACATTTATATGTATTTTTGCCCTGTTTCATATCTTATTTGTAATTTTGCATGGTGGCAGGCTGTGCATGCTTTATTATTCTTCTGTTAAGTCATTTTTATTTTAAAAAGAAAAAACTCTGATTACTAGTAACAGCTCTGTTTAATAGGACTATAAAAGATCTTTAAGTGACTGAGCTTCATAGACAGATTTTGATTGTGCAGTCTCTGCACACGCTCTGATCTGCTGTTATACAAGCGACCTGTAGGGTGTGTATTCAAATCACAGATTAAGATTCCAGTGGGTATTCTCCATCGAAAAAGCTTTTTAATCTAGGACTGAGAAATCATCCCCTGGAGCACAATACGGCAACAGATCAGTGAATCAGGACAGTGGCCTTCAGTTCTGTTCTGTGAGTTCTCTCTAGAGCCTCTGTGATTGGTCACTGTTATGTAAATATTGCGTAACTCTGGGGGCTGATTTACCTTAATGAGTGTTATGTCATGCTAGTTCATCTCACCCTTGCTGTGTGCTCAGCGATGACAGATGCTGCTGGCTCTGATGCTCTGATCTTTGACCTGACCAGCCCTCGGTGCCCCCAGTTCCCTTGGGGATGCCCTAAGAGAGAGCAAAGAAGAAATGTAATGGCATTTTAATTACCAGATAAATAAGTAATAGACCATGTAACATATATTTTATGCCTGTAGCTCGCTGTTTTCGTATTATATTTTGTACCATTTGAAAATGGCAGCTGCTTTTTATACTCTGTGAACATCTTATTATGAACAGACTAATAAAAAAAAGTAAAAAATCCAGAATTACTTAGAAAACGTTGTTATATTAACTAAATGTTAGAAGTGAAGTACTTTTATTTCTCTAGAAAGTTACCATTTCAAAGGTTTTTTCTTTACACTGCAGTACGGTGCAGAAGTCAGAAGCCATACATTTGTTTATTTAACTTCCATTGAAAACTGCAATTATGTACAAGATATTAATTTTTTAATGTCACAAAAAAGCAGGAAACATATATTTAACAAAATTATACCAAATCCTCGACAGCTGAGTATCAAATGTTTTGCAATACTTCATTCGTCCACTCTTTTGTGCAGAATATACAACCAACTGTTAAGACTGAACTTCAGTCTTCATTGAAAAATTGAAAGAAAGTCTCCTGAAAATAATAGAATCTATAAAAAATGCAGAGTTGCCACACTAAATACTGAAATGATTAATATTATATTTAGTTGTTGAGGTTTCTGCATTTTTTTTATTCTTTCTTTCCTGACGCTGAAAAAATTAATAGCTTAGGCCGTTTTGACTTGAAATTATATAAATGAAGGGCCCCTCTAACTTCTGCTCAGAACTGCATATCAAACAAGTTAAAAAGTAAACAGTAAATGCATTTTTCAACAGTGATCTTTGAGGGTAGACAGGTGAAAATAATTTAGTATATAACTGAAGAACACTGGCCTGCCTATGTCAGTTATCAGTCTTTGTTTTGGTATCTTGCCAGACAGTAATAAATCATAATTATGGTGGCTTTTAAAGCCAACACATCCAATTAAGTTGTAAAGCTACCTGCCAGCTTGAAATGCACAGTCAGCTCGAGCTGTGCCACAGCTGTAACACCTGTGGACTTGTGATGACAGCAGCTCACACACTGTGACTGTTCTGGTAGAATCTGTAGAGTTACAGAATTTAAAGAGAGTCAAGTCAAATGAGAGAGGAGATCCGTGTGGGAATGCAGGAGTCAGTGGACACAGAATATGGGAATATGGTCAGTAAGGAGTTCAGTGTGTGTGTGAAGCAGGATTACAACTTCCAGAAACGGGTTAGGAGTTCATGCGGGGACTGGCAGCCATAAAACATGAGGAGTCCGATGATGGACTATTCATCAAAAGCTCATCTCTGCATCCTTCAGAGAGCAAAACACCCAACCAAGAGCACCAGCGCGATCTGCTTCATCAGCACTGAGGGCGCGAGTGTCCTCTTCTTCCTGTCTCCTCCGCTGTCTTTTCTTTGTTAGGAAATGAAGCGGAGATTATATTCGGTCGTAAATTGACTCGAAACAGCCGTTTCGCCTCCGGTTCCAGAGTCTCTCGCGGTCGTTATAGATTTTTCTATGGAGCCCGTTTCCACCACTGGAAACATATATAGAGCCATTTAATGAGTCATAATAATACGAACGTTTTCCATAATTATGACTTAATATCTCGTAATTCTGACTTGTCATAATTATGACTTAGTGTCTCATAATAATGAGGAAAAATTCTCAGAATTATGAGAAAGTAAGTCATAACTATGAGAAAATTGGTCATAATTATGAGATGCTAAGCCGTTATTATGAGATACCAAGTCATAATTATGAGATACTAACTCGTAAGTATGAGTTATTAAGTCATAGTTATGAGATTGAATTTCGTTATCATGAGACAGCAAGTCTTAATTGATGCTAAGTAATTAGTATGAGATATTAAGTCATAATTATGAGGAAGTAGTCATAAATATGAGATGTCATAATTGCTAATTGCATAATAGATGCTACGTCATAATTATGAGACATTAAGTCATAAGAGATAGTTAGCCATAATTATGAGAAAGTACATCATGAGATAGTAAGTAATTATTATGAGATGCTAAGTCATAATTATGAAAATCTGTCTAATTTTTATGACTTACAGAATGACTATATATATATATATGTGTGTGTGTGTGTGTGTGTGTGTGTGTGTGTGTGTATTAGCGGCAAAAATGGGCTTTCGTGTTAAAAATTAAATAAATCTGTGAACCACGTGAGCGGAACGTGCGATGCGCGAGCGCGCGCGTAAGAGCGACGGACTGAGAGCAATCCAGTCAGTCTCTCGCTCTCTCTCGGCATGGACAGTGTACGGTAGCGGCGCTCCACACGCGACCGGCCGCTCTCTTTCTCTTTCTTCGTTTTATTTCTGTTTTTTTCCTTTTCTCTCTCTCTCCCGGTTCGCCATGGCGTGGCCGTGCATCAGCAGGGTCTGCTGCCTGGCGCGCTTCTGGAACCAGTTCGACAAATCCGACCTGTCGGTGCCGCTCACCATCCAGAACTACTCGGACCTCGCCGAGCCGGAGACCCGCGAGATCCGCTCGGTCGCCAGGCACGTGCCCGCGGAGCGCGCGCTCAGGGATGAGTACGCCACGCCGGAGCGCCGCGCTTCACCCACGTCGCAGGACGGAGGAGAAGGAGGAGGTGGTGGAGGAGGAGGAGGAGGCAGGCGGCAGCCGTGCCGCGCGCGGACGGAGCCCAGTTATAAACCCCGCGAGGACTACCAGCCACCGGGAGTGCCTTTCCCGAGCGTGACCCAGTACAAGCAGGACTATAAACCGTGGCCTATCCCGAAGAAAGATAACTTTCCGTGGATCGCAAACGGCGGCAGTAAAGGTCCCGCTGAGAGCCCCGTAAACGTGGAGAAGGAGGAGCGCGCGAGTAGGCAGAAGCACGCGGAGGCGAGCGGGACCGGCACGAGCTCGTACAGGTACGGAGGGAGAGTGGATCCCAACGGCACCCCATTGGACATAATATAGGCCAGAACGGACTGTGCAGTGCACTTTGTACTGCGTAGGGAACAATAACTGTACACTCACACACTCACTGCTCTCTTTACACTCACTGTCCATTCTATCAGGTCCACTTACTGCTCTGTAGTTCTGCTGTTACAGAATGTAGTCCATCTCTTTCACCCTGTTCTTCAATAATCAGGACCACCACAGAGCTGGTACTATTTGGGTGGTGGATCATTCTCAGCAATGCAGTGACACTGACGTGGTGGTGGTGTGTTAGTCTGTGTTGCGCTGTTATGAGTGGATCAGACACAGCAGTGCTGCTGGAGTTTTTAAACACCTCAGTGTCACTGCTGGACTGAGAATAGTCCACCAACCAAAAACGTCCAGCCAACAGCATCCTGTGGGCAGTGTCCTGTGACCACTGATGAAGTACTAGAGGATTAACACAAACTGTGCAGCAACAGCTGAGCTATCATCTCTGACTTTACATCTACAAGGTGGACCAACAAGGTAGGAGTGTATAGTAGAGTGGACAGTGAGTGGACACAGTGTTTAAACTCCAGCAGCACTGATGTGTCTGATCCACTTATACCAGCACAACACACACTAACACACCACCACCACATCAGTGTCACTGCAGTGCTTAGAATGATCCACCACCCAAACAATACTTGCTCTGTGGTGGTCCTGTGGGGGTCCTGACCGCTGATGAATGCATGGTAAAGGGGGGGTAACATCTAACAGATGGACTAAAATCTGTAGCACTACAAAGTGTACCTATCTGGTAGTACATCTGATAAATTGGACAGTAAGTGTGTACTGTTATCTGAGATCCAGCTGGAGAGAGTAACACAGACCTCAGCTTCTCTATAACTACTTCAATCTTAACCCTTAACTCTCACTATGATGCTGCGGTGTTTTGAGAACATGACCATTTCGCCAGTAGTTCAGAGTCTTGTGAAGAATATTTCTCGGTTTCCGTTTTGTCTCTCATCGTGCAGTTGACTTAACCCATCTAACATAGTTAAGGTTAGCAGCGCTGGCCTGGATGGAGACTGTTGCATTGCAGTGGTTTTCAGACGACAGATGACTGTGATATTGTTAATTTGGTGACGTTAACAATATCACAGACTTTCTTGACATTTCTGCGGTTAAAAGAACACATTTGGACAAACAGCTAACGTAGCTACAGGATTGTAGTCACTGAAGGTAATGTTAGCCTTGAATGTAGCCTGTAGCTCACTGCGCTGTGCTGGGTTTTCTCTTTAGTCTTGGCCAAAAAAGGGAGGGAGGGAGAGAGAGAGTGGTCCACTCACACACACACTCCGCTCTCTTACTCTCTGTACTTCACAAACTCAGATAAAAACACTCTCACATGTTCTCGCCAGAGTAACTCAAACGCAGCCGCGGCATCCTCGACGGACTGAAATCTCTCCCAGCTGCCTTCAGTACGGACTTAATTAAAACTCTCGCTGTAAATCTGAACCACTTTCACAATATCAAAGATGCCTGCAGTAGAAACTGCTTCTACATTTTGCTTCTACATTCTATATTTTTATCTTTTACTGTAGTCCTACTCTAATGTACTCAAGATGGGTTGTGGCTTAGTATATATATATATATATATATATATATATACATGAGTGTGTGTGTGTATATACATATTTACACGCACACACACACACACACACATATATAAATATGTATATATATATATAGTATATATATATATATATATATATGTATATATGTATAGTGGTGATGGTTCAAAAGAAGAACTGGGGAATGCCAATTTTCTGCTTAAGGAAATGCTTGTAAGAAGTAGAAAAGGCCACTGGATGACCATGGGAATAGCTGCGAAGGTCACTTCTAGCCATTCAACATCTACTGATGGAAACACTAAACCCACACTAAATAACCCACAGCAGAACAAAATAAAAACACAGCCAAACACACCTTAAACAACAACTCCATTTCCGTATGACATTTCAAAAACGTTGGGACGGATGTGTCTTTACCACTGTGTTGCATATCTTCTTCATTTAACAACACTCTGTAGGTGTTACAGGAATGGAAAAACAATCGAAATGTTTTTCCATTCTTGCTTGATACCGGATTTAAGCTGCTTAGCTTGGTTCTTTTATCGTATTTTCCATTTCAGAGTGCAAGAAATGTTTTCAGTGGTGACAGGTCTGGACTGCAGGCAGGCCAGTTTAGCACCTGGATTCTTTAACTATGGAGCCATACTGTTATAATACATGCAGAATGTGGTTTGATTTTTCCCAGAATACTCTGGGAGATCATGTGACAGAGAGACTTCATGCCGAGTCGGAGTCAGAGAAAGACTCCAGTACCCACAAGTCACTCAAGGATCACGTGACTTCGGACAGTGTTTCACGCACCTGTCAACGATCAAAGTCTCCTGAGTTATAACCTGTTTGACCTGTCCCTTTATCATGTGATCTGTTTAGCTTAGTATTTAAGCCCGGGCTGTAGGTAGAGTCAGTGCGAAGTATTGTTTCCCAGCGAACTTACTGAGCGTTTCTTTCTATCTGTATATTTCTGATTATCCGACCTTTGCTTCGTTCTTTGATTTGCCTCTTGCCTGCCCCTTTTGTACCGTTGCCCTGTCTTTTTTGATCTGTGTTTTTTGAACTTGCCTGCCTGTTTTGGTTCCCTTTGGTTTTGTTCGCCTGTTGATATGATCACCATTGTGATCTTACTCTGCTTTTTGGTTTTGATCCCTCCCTGTGTATTGACAATGAGCCTGCTTAGCGATAATAAAACCTTTTTTACTCAGTTAATCCGCACGCGTCTGGATACTGCTGTTTGGTTACAGAATACTTCGCCACTCATGCAGACAGCGTAACACCAGACTGTTAACCACTACTGAGGACACTACCATGGCCGTATTTCCAGTTAGTAAGCCCGATAAATTTGGTGGAGACCCAGATAAATGTCGAGGCTTTTTACTTCAATGTTCTGTTTATTTTGACAATTCACCACCTAGCTCTGATCTGGCTAAGATTTCGTTTATTGTGTCAAGATTAATAAAGCTATTGAATGGGCCACTGCCAGCTGGAGTCAGATACACCGCCTGTCATATGCTCAGTTCAGCTAAGTTACGTCAAGGAAATCGGTCAGTGGTGGAATACTCCCTTCAATTTCACACTCTCGCGGCAAGCAGTGGATGGAATGAGGCAGCTCTATTGGTAACTTTTCGCCAGGGACGGAACGCCGAGATCTTGAGTGAACTAGCCAGTAAAGACGATGATTTAACTCTCGATCAACTAATCACCCTAGCTATAACGTTAGACCATCTCCTGCACCACCGTGTTAAGCTTAAAGGAGAGAGAACCAGCCGAAGACCGATCTCTCGACTCCGCCTCACGCCAGAGACCGTAGAATCGACTGAGCCTATGCAGTGTGATTCATCCAGGCTGTCCCAAGAGGAAAGAATGCGCAGATTGACCAATCACCTCTGCTTGTACTGTGGGAAGGCGGGACATCAAGTACGTGAGTGTCGAGCCAGACCACAACAAAGCAAGGCGCCGACCCCTGGACAGCACGTGGAGTTTACTCCACGTGCTAATGTGGTGAGTGTGCCCACAAAGGGGTTAGTTTCTAAATCTGTACTGTTACCCATCATTATATACTGTCATCCTGAATCTCTTGTTGTTTCAGCGCTAATCGACATGTTCAGGAAGCCCTCGACCAAGGGTTTATTCGACCCTCTACTTCCCCTATTGCCTCTAGTTTTTTCTTTATTAAAAAGAAGGATGGTGGGCTCCGCCCTTGCATTGACTACAGAGCCCTTAATCAGATTTCTAAGCCCTACCCCTGTCCACTTCCTTTGGTTCCGGTAGCGTTAGAACAACTCCAAGGGGCCAGGTTTTTCTCCAAACTAGATTTGCGCAGTGCATATAATCTTATTAGGGTAAAGAAGGGAGATGAGTGAAAGACTGCCTTCGTGACCACCAGGGGGCACTACGAATATCAAGTGATGCCACTCGGACTCTCTATCGCCCCCTCTGTGTTCCAAGCATTTATTAATGATGTACTGAGAGACATGCTGGAACAGTACATTATCGCGTACCTCGACGATATTCTAGTGTATTCCCCCAACTTCGAGAGTCATGTTATACATGTTCACTCAGTTCTTCAGCACCTTCTGGACACTGACTTGTTTTTAAAAGGTGAGAAATGTGAATTCCATTTACAGTCAGTCTCATTCTTGGGGTATATCATAAGTCAGCAAGGGGTTATCATGGATGATCATAAAGTCGACGCAGTAGTTCAGTGGCCCACACCCAATTCGGTAAAAGAACTCCAAAGATTTTTGGCTTTCGCCAACTTTTATCGGCGTTTTATTCGAAACTTCAGCAGCATCTCAGGTCCTCTAACGTCACTGTTGAAAGGAACACCCAACAAGATCACCTGGAATGCACAGGCTGAGAAGGCCTTCCAGGAACTCAAAGAAGCGTTCACTACTGCTCCTATTCTGCAACACCCCGATCCAACACAACCATTTATAGTCGAAGTTGATGCCTCAGAGACTGGGGTGGGAGCAGTCCTGTCACAGAGAATGGGATCCCCTCAGAAGCTCTATCCCATAGCATTTTATTCACATAAACTGTCACCAGCGGAGAGGAATTGTGGTATAGGGGACAGAGAACTACTGGCTGTTAAATTGGCTTTGGAGGAATGGCAACATTGGTTAGAGGGAGCGAACTACCCTTTCACGGTGTTCACAGATCACAAAAATCTCGAATACCTTTGTAATGCAAAAAGGCTCAATGCTTGACAAGCCAGATGGTCCATGTTCTTCTCACGTTTCCATTTTAACATCACCTATAGACCTGGCTCTCGGAACACCAAAGCGGACGCCCTATCCAGAATTCACCAAGAGGATAGCTCCTCAGCAGAATCAAAAGTCCCAGAACGCATTCTGCCCCCAGAGGTTGTGGTGTCCTCGATTCGATGGGAGGTGGATGAAGAGATAGAAGGAGCACTGACAGGTATAGAGGTCCCCAGCCAATGCCCTCCACAGAAGTTATATGTACCAGAGCCCTTCCGTGACCAACTCATAACCTGGGCTCATTCAGCACTAACCTCTGGACATCCAGGTGAGACTCGAACTCACAATCTCCTTGCACAGTTATTGGTGGGAAACTATGGTTAAAGATATTCATACATGTGTCCTCATGTTCAGTCTGCTCTCAATGTAAGACACCTAAGACTTTGCCAGCAGGAAAATGAATGCCATTACCTGTACCTAACAGACCCTGGTCCCACATAGCCGTAGACTTTGTCACAGATTTACCCGAATCACAAGGACATACCACAGTTCTCACGGTGGTAGATAGATTCTCACGAGGAGTGAGATTTGTACCATTCACTGCACTCCCAAGTGCTTTTCAGACTGCCCAAGCGCTATTCCAACACGTATTTCGTATCTTCGGGATACCTAAGGATATCGTGTCCGACAGGAGGCCACAATTTACATCCCAAGTTTGGACAGCATTCTTTGAGCACATCGGGGTTTCCGTTAGTCTCTCATCCGGGTACCACCCACAATCCAGTGGTCAGTGTGAATGCGTAAATCAAGAACTAGGCAAATTCTTAAGACTGTTTTGCCATGAGAACCCTTCGGATTGGTATAAGTATTTAGTATGGGCGGAAATAGCCCAGAACTCCCTAACTAGTTCTGTCACAGGTATGACTCCCTTCCAGTGCACACTAGGTTTTCAACCACCCCTAGCTCCCTGGACAGGTGTTCAGACGGATGTGCCTTCAGTGGATGACTGGATGACCAGGAGTGAGCAGGTGTGGGAGGAGACTCACCAGCGTATTGAGAATGCACTCCAACGTCACAAGGAACAAGCCGACAGACATCGAGGTCCAACCCCTGTATATCAGCCTGGAGACAGAGTGTGGTTGGCTACTAAGGATTTTCGCACCACAGAGGGAAGTTGTAGAAAGCTCCAGCCCAAGTATATTGGGCCGTGTAAGATAGTCAAAAGAATAAATGATGTTACATACAGACTAGACCTACCCCCATGTTTTTGTGTATCACGCTCATTCCATGTATCTCTCCTTAAACCCGTTATTACAGGACCTTTGGACGAGGCCACTCCAAACGCCGGAGGAGATAGACGGGGCCCCAGAACATGCTGTTCGTCGGTTGCTGGACTCCAGAAGACGCGGCGGGCTTCTGCAGTACCTGGTGGACTGGGAGGGATATGGTCCAGAGGAACAATGTTGGGTGTTGGCTCAAGTTGTGCTGGATCCTGCACTTGTAGCAGATTTTCACAGTCAACACCCGGAGAAACCTGCTCCTTGCCCCAGGGGTTGGCCACATAAGAGGCTGACTGGTTCCCTGCCAGCTCGACTGCGAGGTCCCCAGGAGGAGGGTTCCTTGGTCCAGCGCCGTGACAGTTCTGGTTCAGCCCGTTCGCAGATCCGGTGGTGGTCGTAGAGGTTGTCCTGGTCGTCCTCGTACCGAGGCCCGCCCAGACTCTTTGGGGGGAGGTACTGTCACGCATGTAACGAATTCTCAGGGAGAGTCAGACTCCATTTCCCAGAATACTCTGGGAGATCATGTGACAGAGGGACTTCATGCCAAGTCGGAGTCAGAGAAAGACTCCAATACCCACAAGTCACTCAAGGATCACGTGACTTCGTACAGTGTTTCACGCACCTGTCAACGATCAAAGTCTCCTGAGTATTAACCTGTTTCACCTGTCCTTTTATCATGTGATCTGTTTAGCTTAGTATTTAAGCCCGGGCTGTAGGTAGAGTCAGTGCGAAGCATTGTTTCCCAGCGAACTTACTGAGCGTTTCTTTCTATCTGTATATTTCTGATTATCCGACCTTTGCTTCGTTCTTTGATTTGCCTCTTGCCTGCCCCTTTTGTACCGTTGCCCTGTCTTTTTTGATCTGTGTTTTTTGAACTTGCCTGCCTGTTTTTCGACCATGTCTTTTGCCTTGTCCCTTTGGTTTTGTTCGCCTGTTGTTATGATCACCATTGTGATCTTACTCCGCTTTTTGGTTTTGATCCCTCCCTGTGTATTGACAACGAGCCTGCTTAGCGATAATAAAACCTTTTTTACTCAGTTAATCCGCACGCGTCTGGATACTGCTGTTTGGTTACACCCTGACACTAATAATTGAATAATTTATTTAAATTAAAATAAAGCTACACATAAAGTATTTCCAGAAGTGCGTGGTTATGCTTAATGGGGTTATGCAATAATGGTGTCAAAATGCTAATTCATTTTGTGCTTATAACCAGATGAGTGAGAAGGCCCACCATACACATTCCAGTTGATGCCATGTAGGGATTTCTACAAGGTGAGTGTGGGATGTGGACATATTGCTCAGCCAGCACCTCATCTGCTAATAGGCCACATGAATTGAGAAGGGTTGCAGAATGAAGCTAGGTAAAAGCCATTGTTAACACTAACTACATACCCAAAAAAGGCCCCCATCTACTGTGAACATGTTGGCTAGTACGAACCAGCCCACTGTTTCACACATATACCAGCGATTTTTGGTATGTTTGGATGTTTTTTATTTTTACAGAAAGGCAGTACTTTTATATTGTGTGAATTTGATGAGGTTTGTTTATGTTTAGGTAACTTTATAAAATGTCATTTTTCAGATAAAGCCTTTTCTGCTGAGAGTGCTGTTGGCCCCGCCCTGATGGTTAAATTACAGGTTGGAAGTGTGTGAAAATGAAAATGCAGTCAGGTTGAAGGCATTTTGAAAATAGTTTTGCCGCAGTATGAGAGCAGTAAGCAAGAAAACTTAAATGCAATGATGTGAAGCACTGTTTCCCTTTTTACGTTTGAAATTTTTAGCTTGGTGTTCTCTTTGATAAAGTAATTTGAAATGCCTTATTAGAGAGCACAAATGCATATATAGTAAGTTATATTTTAGTTATCATTTTGACACCATTATCGCATAATCATATAAGGTATAACCACGCAGTTCTGGAAATACATTTTAAAAGCATCTTTGTATAAACGAAAAATCAGTACTTACAGTTAGGCCCAGAAATATTTGGACAGTGACACAAGTTTTGGCATTTTAGCTGTTTACCAAAACATATTCAAGATACAGTTGTATAGTCAACATTGGCTTGAAGTGCACTCTCAGCTTTAATTTGAGGGTATTCACATCCTAATTGGAGGAAGGGTTTAGGAATTACAGCTCTTTAATATGTAGCTGCCTCTTTTTCAAGGGACCAAAAGTAATTGGACAATTATCTCAAAAGCTATTTCATGGGCTGCATGGGATATTCCCTCGTCAATCTATCATCAATTAAGCAGGTAAAAGGTCTGGAGTTGATTCCAGGTGTGGCATTTGCATTTGGAAGCTGTTGCTGTGAACCCACAACATGCAGTCAAAGGAGCTCTCAATGGAAGTGAAACAGACCATCATAGAGATAGCAGAAATGTTAGGAGTGGCCAAGTCAACAGTTTCATACATTCTGGGAAAAAAAGAGTGCACTGGTGAGCTCAGGAACTCAAAAAGGCCTGGATGTCCACAGAAGACAACAGAGGTGGATGATCGCAGAATCCTTTCCATGGTGAAGAAAAACCCCTTCACAACATCCACCCAAGTGAAGAACACTCTCCAGGAAGCAGGTGTATCAGTATCTAAGTCTACCATAAAGAGAAGACTTCACAAGAGCAAATACAGAGGGTTCACCACAAGGTGCAAACCATTAATCAGCCTCAAAAATAGAAAGGCCAGATTAGACTGCCAAAAAACATCTAAACAAGCCAGCCCAGTTCTGGAACAGCGTTCTTTGGACAGACAAAACTAAGATCAACCTGTACCAGAATGATGGGAAGAAGAAAGTATGGAGAAGGCTTGGAATGGCTCATGATCCAAAGCACACCACATCCTCTGTAAAAAATGGTAGAGGCAGTATGATGGCATGGGCATGCATGGCTTCCAATGGCACTAGGTCACTAGTGTTTACTGATGATGTGACAGAAGACAGAAGCAGCCAGATGAATTCTTAAGTGTACAGGGATATACTTTCTGATTGGACGTCGCTTCACAGTACAGATGGACAGTGACCCAAAACATACTGCGAAAGCAACCCAGGAGTTTTTAAGGCAAAGAAGTGGAATATTCTGCAATGGCCAAGTCAGTCACCAGATCTCAACCCGATCAAATATGCACTTCACTTGCTTAAGACAAAATGTAAGGCAGAAAGACCCACAAAGAAGCAACAAATGAAGACTGCAGTAAAGGCTTGGCAACGCATCACAAAGGAGGAAACCCAGCGTTTGGTGATGTCCAAGGGTTCCAGACTTCAGGCAGTCATTGCCTGCAAAGGATTCTCAACAAAGTATTAAAAATGAACATTTTATTAATGGTAAAGTTAATTTGTCCAATTACTTTTGAGCCCCTCAAATGAGGAGGCTTTGTAGAAAAATGGTTGCAATTCCTAAACGTTTCATAGGATATTTTTGTTCAACCCCTTGAAATAAACCTGAAAGTCTACACTTCAATTGCATCTCAGTTGTTTCACTTCAAATCCGATCTGGTGGCATGCAGAGCCCAAATCATGAAGATTGTGTCACTGTCCAAATATTTCTGGGCCTAACTGTATGTGAATTATTACAATTGCTTTCCTATAAATGGCACGGATTGCATCTGCTATGCTTTGTTTTACATCTTTGTTTATTTAGATCCTGCTCTGAAAGGCCTGGACAAATCTGGTCCCGGTGGGCCATGGCACAGTTTAGTATTTGCTCTAAAACCCATAATCCCATAAATTACAAAGCAAATAGACACTAGGCTTTTCAGAGTGCATTCTGATACATATACAGTTCAAAACAACATCTCTCTCACGGTACTGTCAAACCCTGTAAAGACTCAAAGAGTTCAGATCAGCCCTTCTGTCCCTAATAATTAATGTCTCTCTGGAGCCAGACAGGAGTACCGGCCCTGGGCAGCAGTCCGGCCATCCAAGCCTGCTCAGAAAAGGCCTACGTTCCTGGGAGCAGCCACCAACGAGCCCCCTCTGGAGACCAGCTACCAGGCTGCCTTTAGCGCTGACACACACAGGCATGCAGACGTCAGTGTGCCAGACATCACAGCGCACACACAGTCCAGCAGCCAGCCAGAGAGGGCAGACAAGACCGAAGTCAGTTCCAGACCGGAGGTGAGTGGAAGGAAAACCCTGAAGTCGTATTATGACATAGCTACATCGCTGCAGGACTGCATTCAGTACCATTACAGATACTGTCCAAAATTATACAATTTCAAGAATATTGCACTCAGAAAGTGGGATAGGACTATATAACAGAGGGAACAGAGTGATCCACACTTATGTTTATGTGATATTTATGTGTAGATATGGCCGTGGTTAGTGAGGAAGAACCTGTTGATGTGATTGTTTTTCCTCTGGTTTTATATTAAGCTTATTTTATAATAGTCTATTCAGGGGATCTTAACTTTATGTAGTAGTTTACAGTGATAGTTAATATCTTGTAGGTAGGTAAGTTATAGCATTCCTTAATCCGTGTAGATATTCATAAAAGATTAACTTTAGCACCTTCTTACACTAATCTGAAACTAGCTACTTATTTGCCAGCTTCTTATTCGAATTTTCACCAGAAAGTGACTATTGCACCATTTAAGGTGGAATAGGAAAACTCAAACAAGAAGCTGGTGAATAGGAAACGAACTTTAGCTTCGTCGTTCTTACTGTGTTTTGGGGGGTTTTATTTTTGAATGTGTATTAAGTGTATTAAGATGAGAAGTGATTCACACATTGATGAATTTGCTGATTGTGAGATTGTGTTTCTACCGGAGCTCGCGCTAAACTCGGTTTTTAACGTCCGATGCAGACTGAATACTTTTCTGCTGGTCCGGACGGCTAATTAGCATGATTATTAAACACGGTTATTAAAGAAATAAAAGTTACCTAGAGCAGTCCGTGCAGCCTAGATTAATCTATGTCTGTGGATTATAATAAAGCAAATTTGGTGAAACCGGTTGAGTATTAAGGAAGTTGTGGTCTCATCACCTCTCAATACAAGTGAATTTGTTCACAAGCGGATCTTGACCGCTCCAACGTGGCGGACGTGCAGAAGTATTGCCTCAGTTAGAGAACAACAGACAACGCCACATCTAGGTATGTATATCTATGGGATAAAACAAGCTAGCTAGCAAAATGCTGTCGTTAGCTAACGGAACTGTTTTCTTTTGCAAGAGGTAATGTTTATTGTTGTCATGTGTGATGTGTTCTCCAAACACACGATACATCTACATGCTTAATTGGAGGTTTTTAGGGAAACTTTTCAACCGTGCTAACTTGTGTTATCCATGGGCTAATGACAGGCTTATTGTCCACCGGACAATGTTGACAAGCGCACCATCACTCCCTACTTTGAGCTGCACCTCGTCGGATTGGTTTAGAAATTTCACAGTCAGTTTATCTAACAGGACTCTGCACTGTTGACCAGCCTATGCTTGTGTTTTTGGAAGCACACCTGATCATGCGCTATGATGGGGTGATTAGAGCTGGATTAATGAGGAGAACGGCACAGGTCTTATATTATGATGTAAAGGTGGGTGATATGACAAAAACCAAAAACTTCACAAAACTTCGAAAGATTTTCACGATTCACAATGTCATGATATTTTTTTCTGACATCTGATAAATTGGAAAAGACAAAGTAGTGCCACATTTAAAAATACTGTCAGAAATGATGAATACAGAGGTTTATATTCAACATTTCACATACTGAGCTACACCAAGACCAATTAAACAGAACTAATTATGCAGTCTTTGAAATCAAGCATGCAGTTGATGGTATTTGAAGTACTGACGATGTCCATGAAAAGCATATTGTGATGGAATTTATCACAATAACGCTAAATACCGTCATATTGCCCAGATCTACTATGATGTACTTATTTCTGTAACTGGATCTAATCATATTATTATAATAAGCTTTATTTGTATAGCACCTTTCATACATAAATGCAGCTCACAGAGGATTAAAAGACAAAAGAAACAAAATGGCATACGTTTAAATAAGATCACAAAAACATAAAAGCAGGGGAAAAAATGAAGAACAACTGAACAATATTAAAAAGCAGATATTGTAGTGATATGGAATAATAAACAATAGTAATACTACTACTGATAATAAAGATAGTAATAGCAATAAGAATAGAATGAAAAATTAAAATAGTACAAAAAAGAATTAAATAATTCATAAATAATTAAACAATTAAAAAAAATAAAAAAATTAAATACAGCAATACTAGTATTGAAAGTAAGTAAAAACAAGAAAATCATGAAAAACAAGGTTGATAAAAATATGTTTTTAGCTGCCTCTTGAAATGATGTACTGATGTTGCCTGTCTAGTCTCTCCAGGTAAATCATTCCATTTTTTGGTGCATGAAAACAAAAGGTTACCTTGCATGTCTCTTCTTAACTTTCAGTATTTTAAGCAAGTCTGCATTTCGTACAGCCGGGAAAGTGTTAGTGCAGCCCGAAAGGAGGAAATGGCACTCATTTATTCCTAATTACACTGGAGAGAGGCAGCTGCTCGAACCCTGCTGCCTCACTATCTCTCTCACTCACTCAGCCTTGCATCTCACACTGACTCGCACAATTTCGCCCTCTGCACCCCAGAGACCAGTGGGTGATGGGCAGAGGAAATTAGCACAATTAAACAGGCACACACACACACACACACACACTGCTGAGAGGGTTGTTTTGCAATATGTTTTCCATTACTGAGCACTGATTGCTTTAACAATGTAAAAGATCATGCAATCTCAGTAAGGTGTTTAGCAATAGTATCATTTCTAAATTAATAAGCCACAGACTGAAGTATATTTGGCAGTTGGCAGTATTTCTGTCTAATGAAAGCTTTCGTCCTGGAGATAATGCTTTCTAATAAACTATCTGCTTCTTAAAAGTGAAACGGTCTTTACAGCCAAAGGTACTTAATATATTGTCAGTGTTGTGGGAGATTTGACCCATTACAGCAGTTCTGAGGACCCCCTGCACTGCTCCCCTGCCCAAACACACATAATCCAACTTACCCGCTCATTTTCTAGACCTTGATGAGTTGAATCAGTTGTGTTGGGGAAGGGAATACTTGAAACTGTGCGGGGCTGGACGTCACAGGACTGGAGTTGAAAACGGGTGTCTCTCTGAAATTAAAATGTTTGATATAATACAGTTGTGTGCAAAAGTTTGGGTGCCCCTGGTCAGTTGACATGTTTTGTTGATTTCCTAAGTGAAAATAAGTGAACATATCCTCTACAGAGAACACTCTCCTGTATTTTAATGCAGTGTGACTGATTATTGGCTGAATTTAACATATTGGAAACAGTAAAACCCAAAATGTGGCCTATGCAAAGGTTTTAGCACATTTTTATATTTTATGTTTTATTTTTTTCCCAATATATTAAACTTATTAAATAACTAGAAATTGTGCATGAAAATTATCAGAAAAAACACATATTTAAGTGTGTTCCCTGTAGAGGATGGGTTTACTTATATGCACTTAGAAAATCAACAAAACAGTTTGACCTGGAGTTGATAAAGAGAGTGCCGTTCACTCTTTAGCCATCCATTTATGGAAATGAAGCTACAACAGCCTGTTTTAAATGTATGGTTTTTGTGATGTCACAAAATCCAGTGAATTTACATATACATATACACAGGCCAGCCACTTTATTAAGTACCACTAACTTGTATCTACACTCTTCATCTATTTTATCAGCTTCACTTGTAGGTCTACAATTACTGACTGTAGTCCATCGGTTTCTCTGCATACTTTGTTAGCCCCCTTTTACCATGTTTCTCTATGGTCAGGACAGGATGACCTCAGAGCAGGTATTATTTGGGTGGTGGATCATTCTGCAGTGACACTGACTGGTGACTGACTGACTGGTGGTGTGTTAGTGTGTGTTGCGCTGGTCTGAGTGGATCAGACACAGAAGTGCTGCTGGAGTTTTTAAATACCCCAGTGTCACTGCTGGACTGAGAACAACCAAAAACATCTAGCCAACAGCATCCTGTGGGCAGCATCCCTGAGACCAGCACTGTAGTGCTGAGAGTGATCTGGCACCCAAATAATACCTGCTCTGTGGTGGTCCTGTGGGGGTCCTGACCATTGAAGAACAGGGTGAAAGGGGGTTAACAGAGTATGCAGAGAAACAGATGGACTACAGTAGAACTACAAAGTGCACCTATATGGTGAGTGGAGCTGATAGAATGGACAAAGAGTGTAAATACACGGTAAGTGTACTTAATCAAGTGGCTGGTCAGGGTACACTCAACCTACAGCAGTTTAGCCATGGCCATCTATGTTGATGTTATAAGGAGTGTTTCAGCCTGGACTGTCTATTGAATGAGGCGCGATACAGGGCAGCCAATCAGAAAAGGGATGATATAGATTTATCTAAGAGAAAAAGACAGCTAGGAAAATGGTCATGGAAAATGAATTATGATTGTTCTTTGTACATAAACACACACAAAAGTGAAAAAACAAAACACAAGAAGATATGACTTCTTACACAGGTTTATCAGTATCTGGGAAAATGGCAGCAATAAACATTGATTTCTTAAAAAACGGCTTGTTTTATGTTGTAAAATTGGTAGCTGTATTGGTGGTAACATTTTCATATTATGTGTACAGGTGAGAGGCTGCCATTAGCAGATGCTTTGTGTCTTCTGTTTTGATTCAGTGCCAAGGCCTGTAATGCAGTCATCTTCATTTCCGCCTCGTTTCTGGGCTTTTTGCCTTCAATCTTGTCTTCTGTAAATCAATTACCTGTCCGGTGAGGTTCCTGTCAGGTGATTGACTTGTCACTGTTTGTCCCTGAAAAGCTCCACAGATGCTTTCATAGTGTGTTTTCAGGTTATTTTCCTGCTGCCAGGTGAAGCACCGTCTGTAGAGTTCTTGGGGTTTTTGTGAGCAGTTTTACTTGTAGTCTACTTTTGTTCACTGTTCAAAATTTATTCTTCAGCATCAGTAAAGACAAGCAGGCTCATTCTTCTGGCAGCTCAAGTGTTTAGCAAGTTGTAACCTGGCCTTTACAGTAGTTAGCATCCCTGTGTGACCCCACTGAGGTTATACTGGTGTATTCTTCTCTTGCACAACTATGCTTGGTGTTCTTGATCTGTTCAA